GTATCATGTTTGGAATACTCACCAATTTACTTTTCTTTAAATGTATTTTCTATTTAGGTTTTAAATTAAAACAGGGAGGATTAGTAATTAAAAGATTCGGTAGCCACACTCATTTGACCCTGAAGTATATAATACGTGTGGGCGGTGAGAGAATAAATAACAGTTGTTTGGTGAACTGAGACATTATGTACCAGCATTCACCTCATAGTTACGGTAATCATTAATTATCAGCATTAACATTTAATAATTACATGTATTAACATTTTCATGTGATATTTATTTTGTAACAATGCATTATGTTAATCGTGTTTTTGTTATCTGTTATCCTGCCGATTCTTTCGTATATGATAATTATGAGTCGTTATGAGGCATGTGATTTCATCAGCTCTCGAAACTGTATGGGCGAGTCCTCAAAATAGTTTAAAAAATCCAACTTTGGCATATTTTAATGTCAATTGTAATTATCTTTTTGATCATAATTGCTCTATTGCAATTTGCACCATATAAACTTCTCACGTGTCAATAAATATTCGTAAAATAATATTTTCTTTCTTAGTTTATCTTTCCGAAAATGCATGTATGTGTACCAAATTATTTTTTCAACAGATGTCTGTACAGTCTAAATTATATGGCAAACAACATATATCTAGGAATTATGAATATATATTTTTTGGATATTATTATGAAACATATGACTGTCAGCTCACTCGCCACAACAAAATATTCCCAAATATACACACGAGTCCTAATATACGTGTATATTGGACCCAGCATTGGTCAAGGATTTGCGAAAGTTCGGATTTAAGGACGGGCTTGCTGAAACGATTTGGCATATTTTAGCCTTATTTTACGCATCAAATTTTAAATTATATTAATAGTGAGTGAGTGAGTATGCTTTTAAGGCGCTTTTAGCAATAATCCATCTATATCACGGCGGGGGACACCAGAAATGGGCTTCACGCTATATTAATATGTTAACCTGCATGGAAGCCATTGTGAAACCAACACATTGCAAAGAAACTTGGGCTGGGACGGGTCCAAATTTTCTACCCGGGTACCCAATCCCAAGTACCCCATCCCTATTACCCTACCCGACCCGGATACCCGTTTCGTTAATTGCTGGCATCAAATTTGCAAGAAATGACAATATTTATATTCTTCAGCTTGGAGGCTAGAATTTCGAGTTTTTCAACATCTTAACCATGTATATATATTATTCAAAAGAAGTGACTGTAAATTATGTCTAAATCTTCAAAGATAATACAACCTAACCATGAACGAATAACATATTACATAGTTTAATCTATTTGTCACATGATCATAATGGGTCCGGGTATTGAGAGGAATACCCGGGTCTAACTCATTACCCACCCGTCTCGGGTTTCCGGGTTACCCGATCCAGCCCTAAAAGAAACGTCATACAACTAACAGTGTTATAATAGAATTAAGCAAGTTTACATATAAATACAAATTTCTACAAAACCATACCAATGAACGCACAGCCGATCTGTTGTATAAGATCACTTCCCCTGCATTGTATAGCATCATTTCCCCTGCATTGTATAACATCGCACCACCCCCACCCCCACCCCCCCCCGGATTGTATAACATCACTTCAACTGCATTGTATAACATCACTTCCCCTGCATTGGATATATAACATCAATTCCCCTTGCATTGTATAACATCACTTTCCCTGCATTGTATAACATCACTTCCCCTGCATTGTATAACATTACTTTCCCTGCATTGTATAACATCACTTCAACTGCATTGTATAACAACACTTCCTCTGCATTGTATAACATCACTTTCCTGCATTGTATAACACCACTTTCCCTGCATTGTATAACATCACTTCCCTTGCATTGTATAACAACACTTAACCTGCATTGTATAACATCACTTCCTCTGTATTGTATAACATCACTTCCCTTGCATTGTATAACATCACTTAACCTGCATTGGATAACATCACTTAACCTGCATTTTATAACATAACTTCCCCTGCATTGTATAACATCACTTCCTCTGCATTGGATAACATCACTTAACCTGCATTTTATAACATCACTTCCCCTGCATTGTATAACATCACTTCCTATGCATTGCATAACATCACTTCCTATGCGTTGTATACCAACACTTCCTCTGCATTGTATAACATCACTTCCCTTGCATTGTATAGCATCACGTTCCCTTCATTGTATAGCATCACTGCCAGCAGGTCTGGTGTGACACAATGTGTCAGTACCACACCTCGTTGGGCACTGACGTATAGCATCACTGCCGGCAGGTCTGATGTGACACAGTGTACCACACCTCGTTGGGCACTGACGTATAGCATCACTTCCGGCAGGTCTGATGTGACACAATGTACCACACCTCGTTGGGCACTGACGTATAGCATCACTGCCGGCAGGTCTGATGTGACACAATGTACCACACCTCGTTGGGCACTGACGTATAGCATCACTGCCGGCAGGTCTGATGTGACACAATGTGTCAGTACCACACCTCGTTGGGCACTGACGTAGAGCTTCTCAGAATTCCATGTCTGATGCAGACACACAACCTGACACCTCTACAAGTCCGAGGTCAGTAACAGAGGCAGGGGCTATGTAACCGATAATAAAACTTCACTTATATCTGCATATCAATCCCACTGTACTGTTAATATCGAAATGAGAGAATGAAGCTAACCTCTACAGCATGAGAGCAACAGCCCCCTACATCATCCCTATAGATTCCATCTGTAACTTCTAGAACATGAGAGCAACAGCCCCCTATAACATCCCTATAGACTCCAGCTGTAACGTCAGAAAGAACAAACGGACAGGCAGACGGATGGATGTTATATTTTCGTCTCACTGCGGTACATCATACAACAGAACACGTTTGAAATAGGAGATAACGGAAACAAATACACTGCCGTGCGGCGTAAAACTAAACTCACTCACTCACTCTAATGGCTCTATCCCCTACATGTATCAAACCCAGGTGCGACGATGTAGGGGCCTCACATTCCTTGCTTGACACATGCGAATCTGTCGATCTCGACTTGTTAATGACATGACTCGAAATGGTCTTTATAGAGCCGGATACCGACAGCACACAGCTGTTTCATCGTTGCACTGTGTTCCTGTTGATGCAGTGACCCAATGCGGTTGATAGTGATGAGTGAGTGAATGAGTTTAGTTTTACACCGCACTCAGCAATATCCCAGGTATATGGCGGCTGTCTGTATATAATCGAGTTGCAGGCCTACCTTTTAGAATTCAGCTTCAACCACTAGACAACACTGCCCTCAAATTACAAATTACATCACAACGTACCTTTATATGATGTACCTTTAGTCAGCACCAAATTACTGAAACGTTGTTACCAAAATAATTGTACTCTTTGACTTCAGACTGCTGTTTGGTTATCGAGTGTGCCTAAGCGGTGGGCGAGCTGGCTAAAACGCCAGGCTAGTGATCCATCGAGCTTGAGGTGTCGGGATCGAGCCCACTTGTGACCGGGTGTAAAAACCTTGGAGTCAACTTTGTGTGCGGACTCTTCAGTGTTGTCACAATCCCTAGTATACAGTACACAACCCTGTGCACATAAAATGAATCCGTTGAGATTGATAATACGATGTGCCGTTGAGATCAGAGGGGCGTGTCACGCTTAGAAACAGCGTTAGAAAGATACTAGGGTAGGGTCTATATACCTATATGTTTTTCTAACGCTGTTTCTAAGCGTGACACGCCCCTGTGGTTGAGATTGACATCCAGTTATCGAGGGAAATACCAGCGCCTTGAGCATGTACACAACCCTGTGCACATAAAATGAATCCGTTGGTATATGACCAGATGATTGCCACATGAATACGTGCAAACACCTAGTTGCGGGTACAGCAACATGCAGTGAAGTTGGACAAAGTACTGTGACTATGTGTCCCAGTCCACCCAGCTGTGAATGGGTACCTCGTAAGAATGAGAAAGCCGTGAAACTCAGTGCGCCTAGTGGCTGCAAGAGTTGTATGATCCCTGGGGAGTTGAGATTGATAATACGATGTGCCGTTGAGATTGACATCCAGTTATCGAGAGAAACACCAGCGCCTTGAGCATGTACTAGTCACGTGGATATGTGCGCTATATAAATATTATATAATAGTAATGATAATAATAATAAGTTGCTCACAGTGTGATATCTTCCACAGTGAGATACCATGCTGCAGATTTACAAGGGTACCTGGTAGGAACAGATTCGCTGGCCTTGATTCATCCCTTTAGTGGCTAGCTCCAGGAAGGGTACAGACAAGTACCGTCGTTTATTTCAAAGTACTTTTGTTTGACAGAGCCAGGGATCGAACCAATGACCTTCCGCTCTGTGGACAGACACTCTACCAACTACACCAACTATAGTCTGTCATACAGACCTTGAAGCAAATATAAGAAAGCCCACGCAAGTCTAGAAAATGTGGCAAGTCTAGATTTCCAATCTGAAAATGAAGAAAGTCTCAGGGCTCCTTTTCATTATATTTTTTTTTAACTATGTACTTTTTTTCTGTAAAATATGTTCATTTCAGAGAATAGTTGTTAGTCCACACCAACTAGTGTACAACCAGCTAGTCCTATATACACAGACACCCTGTGGCATTACTGTTATGTATGTAGCAGCCAGTGGCTGTCGTAATGTTACGTATTGGAGATCAGTAATTGATCACTCTATATAAAATACCGAGTTTCATATTCCATATTTTCAATTTTTATATGCACATAAATAATGATACCATAAATAAAACTAACATGTTGTGTATATGTAGGTCAAGGAATATACTGCTTAGGTGTTCTTCTTGACTCAACTTTCATTCGCAAATATAGATTGTGTGGGCAGGCGAGTAATATTTTGAGAGCACAGGGTTCATTCGGCAGCCGTCCAAACGGAGGCGTGACCGCTTCGAGCATTCGGCAATCAAGGCGGAAAGTACCGATTGAAGAACGAGACGTCTCGAGCTTACACGTGGGAGAACCCGGCAAACACAGTGATGGATCAAATACATTCTCATTCGGTTAGAAGCAATCAGAGGTGATACAGGACTTTAGGATGCCTCCGATAGGCAGTGGGAAGGATGACCATCTTTTGGCCTCGGTGGACGGCAATAAACAAGCAAACGGACAGTCGTCAACACAAACTGACATTCAACCGAACACTGTTGTTGAGTTGAAAAAGCGGATCACGTTGTGGAATGGAGTAGCGATCATTGTGGGCTCTATCATAGGCTCGGGAATATTTGTCAGCCCTAAAGGTGTATTGAAACATACAGGATCGGTAAGTTGTGTTCAGTTTTATGTTTCCTTTGTTTATGAAGAAAACATTCAGTGATTTCGAGGGCGGCATGTCCCATATGTTACGAGTGTCAGACCCGCTTATATAGACTTTCAATATTGTAAACAAGACCGGCGTGTCCATAGACATGCCAACAATGATGCAATACCTAGCCCGGTGCATGTAACGATCGCATAAACGTGTTGAGCTTAAACGAACAGACAAACTAATCATATGTGAATGAAAGATCTGTAATTGTGTTTATTTTGTGATCATTAAAAGCAATGCTTTTGTGTGATTAGTATTTTTGTATGCAGATGTACTGGTAAAATCCTTCCTGAATCTTGGCCATTTCACTCAAGTCACTGTTGACAAAATTGACAATCTGCAAAGACGGGTCATGGAGAGACGGCAGCGTCTGATTTAATTATGTGTAGTTAAAATTATTACTATCCCCATATATTGTTTATATTTTATTATTATTTTTCTACAAGTAATGGTATTATTATCTGCTGAGCAGATAGATGCAAATTTGCCAAGATGGGATCTTCACAAACAAAGCATTCATTCACTAATTTCATAAGTTGTTCCAAATAATGATTCTTCATATTGACAAGTATGTACCACAACATATCATGCAGAAGCGATTATTTACAAACCACCCTTGCAGAGAGCAGCATTAAACAACACACACACAAAACATATAATAAAGAGCTCGTTTACAGTTGTCATTAACAACCCAGGGTTTTTAAATAGCTCTTTGAAACTGGGAGTCCTGGGGACTCTGGGCATATGTATTCTGAGAGTCCATTTCCAAAATTGGGAGTCCATCAATTTGCATGAAATTAATGAACCTGGATGCTTCCCATTTGATAATGATTATGTTATAATATGTGTTACTTTCAATGTCATTAGAATAATGATTGTAAGCAGAATGTTTATATTTTAATATCGGGTATCATTACAAACTCCTCGAAAATATTATATTGCGTCCAAAAGGACTCACTGGATTTTAATTTAGGGGTACTTCATCATATTTCTGTGTCCAATACGCAGGAATCACGCGTGCCGTAAAACCCTGACAATCCCTGCTTGTAAGGAAGGTGGCTAACAAGATTATGTGGTCGGCCTTGTTGAAATGCCTGGTGAATAGCATGTTATGTAAATCAGTGGTCATAATGCCAGTCACTGTATTGTCTGGTCCAAACTCTATTATTTACAGATCACTGTCATGTAGCTTGAAAAATAGACTAAGGCTTAGTCTCTTAATATATATAATTTTGATAGTAACAAACAAGCCCATTTATATTGAAAAGGAGCCCTAGGGAGACCAGAGTGGGGAAATCTAGACTTGCTTTATTTAGGGCTTTAGCACTGCAGAGAGGGCTTGGCAGTAGGGAAATTAATGTGGTTCAGGGACTGTGAGACAGAATCTAGACTTGTTTTATTTAGGGCTTTAGCACTGCAGAGAGGGCTTGGCAGTAGGGAAATTAATGTGGTTCAGGGACTGTGAGTGTCAGACAGACTACATGAAAAATTGCTGAGTGAAATGTTAAACAGGATACAAAGAAAACATATATAAACACATTATGTCAAAATATATTTTCTTAAGATCCTGTTTGGTGAGGAAGTTAGATAACTAAATGTCAAAGAGTTGGACGACATAACAACCCTGTGATCTATTTAATGACCTAAATACACAACTCAGTCTGTAGATAAACAATTCCATGGCTCTGGGATTCCAAAGACATTAGAAGATGGTGTTTGCGACTCTATGGGGATCAAACATACCGTGGGTAGCTGTCAACCCCTGAAAGTTCCAAGGAGTGAGAATCTGGGGTCCATGGTGATTTCCTGGTGGGGTGTGATGGCTAAGCTTAACCTTCCCTTTCCTCCCCCCCCCCCCCTCCCCTTTCAGACAAAAATGCATATTTGGGTTATTTAATGGTGATTTTTATGTCTTTTGATGCACCTTTAAAAGCCAATATCCAAACTTAAAACCACAAAATTATATTTCATAATTGTCTTATAAACCAGACAATTCCATTCTATAACAATGTTTTCTTAGTATAATAGCACGTTACATTCTTAACAAACATATTTTTGCTTAAATTTCAATAATGCATAAGTTTAGAAAGGTAATGTGTGAGTGCTTGACATTGAGGTAAAATGCGTGAGAGTTGACAGGTATGAAGACAAAGATTGGTCTTGAGTTTGGTGCCCATGTTTAACTAGGCCATAACCTGTCACTAACTAGCCAGCTTTGGAACGTGACATTAATTAAACTCCACTTCATCTTACATCTATAGGACTGAAGAAACAGAACAAATGTTCAGCAGGGTTATTGAAAATAAACTTGAATTTTGTTGATGGTCACAGCAAAAAAATGATTATTTTCTTTATTTTTAGAACAGTAAAACTTGTCTGGCCTTTAAAGATTTGCTATTGTAGTTAATAAGCTGATTCTTACATTTCTCACATTGTCGTGACACTTTTCGTGCTTTTGAACTGACATGTAAATGCACATATGTGCATACAATCTTATGGCATGTGGCCTAATCTCCTGTGTAGGCTGGATTTAGAATCAGATTGGTTCAGTTTCTAGGATCATTGTGGTAGTAAATGTCCTGATGATATATTTGAGTCCAGGTCCACGTTTAGCAATTTACATCAAAAGATGGTGATGAAATATAGGCACCCTTACAGAATAGTATCATCCCACCGGTTGCCTGTAACACAGCTGTCACTGATTTTGGCAAGTGTTAGTTGGTGCTATTTTTACCTGTTGCTAGTTAGCTTCAGGAACTTAGGAAACTAGGTTTCCAATCAGCAAAGATCTTGTTGGTATTGAGGGGGAATCCCCTTTAATAGTCACAGATGATTCTTACCAAAGCCTTCACTTGGAAAATTCATATGTGTTAGTAGATGTGTTTGTGCAGTAATTTACTTCCGTACACAGAAATATGACATATGTTATATATATATATATTGCTGGATAGTTTCTACATATGGAACATTTTGATCAGTCACAGCTGCCACGGCCTCACAACTTCTAGCTTCAGTAAATAAGTAAAAACAAAAGCAAATATCGTAATTCCAACAGAGAAAAATGTTAAGTGTAATACCGGTCAGATACCTTATTTGACCTTAATCCCAAATATAACATATGTTACATTTACCACTTTCTAAAATGGCATTGTGTATTTCACAGAAATATGTGTATGGATTGTTTTTGCAACAATGAATTTCAGTTAGTTAGTGTTGGAAATTGGTTAAAATCTCATTATTGATGATTGGTCCATTACAATCAATCAGTTATTGAAAATAATTGGTTGGTGCCATTTTTCTATTATGTTTGTTAATGCACACCAAAAAATAAAGAAAACATTATATAGTTCTTTGGTCTTTTTTGCAAATTGTACAAAATGCATTTGCAAATTTCACATCTTAAAATGATGGTGGTGGAATTGGGTTTAACATCGTGCTTAAGAATATTTCGCTCATATGACGACGTGCATGCATGTGTATGTGTATGTGGGGCTACTTGTACTAGCCCAGACTGAAGCTGGTTTTATAGTGCTAGCCCACTGAGATACCATGCCGCAGTGAAGCATGAATACCCCACTCAGACACATTATACAGACTCCGAGCCAACCAGTCCTTGTTGTACCCATTAATGCCGAGTGCCAGGGACCAACAAGTACCATATTTTAGGTCGGGGATCGAACCCATGACCTTCCGCACTCCAGGCGGACGCTCTAACCGCTACACCACTTAAAATGATGACTATTATGTCAGAAACATTAATTTCATCATGACTGGTGAAATGTTAAATGAAATGTAATTTTAATGACAGAAACAAATCAACCTTGTGAAAAATATTGTTAATGGAAACAAGTGTTCCAAAATTGTGTTCTATTATGAGAAAACATGATGAGTTGTTTGGTTGTTAAGTCACTGCGACCAATGATACGTTGATTGATCATTGTTTCGCAACGTAATTGAACACAGATGTCACTAGTGCTATCTCCACTGATGCAAGAGAGATGGCACCAATGTGAATCACTTGAAACTTAGTTGAACATATTTGAGAGTCAAACACTTGTTATAATATCCTGTATTTATAAATATAAGATTGTTGCAAAGTCTTGTGACGTCAAACAAGGTTATATTTACAGCTTAAGATGTATAGCGTCTGACCCTCTGACAAATCTGGCAGATTCGCCAACGGTCCGATAGAAGTCTACAACCCGCCAGCCCCAGTGTCTGACTGTATATTTCACAATGACTTTGACTGAAGTTGTTATATGTGACATGTGACACTTGTTGGCTATTTATAAATCTTATGTTTGTGAATAATTTCAATGCCAATATATAAGAAATGTTAAATCTGATTGTGTGTTTAATTTTATTCTATGGGTCCTGTGAATTTTCAGTGGGTCAGACAGACATCTGAAACTTACAGGACCCAATGTCCTGTTACTTTGAAACACCCTTCGTGAACACTGTATGGTATATTCCTTTGTAATGATGGGGCGGTGGGGTAGCCTAGTGGTTAAAGCGTTCGCTTGTCACGCCGAAGACCCGGGTTCGATTCCCCACATGGTTACAATGTGTGAAGCCCATTTCTGGTGTCCCTGCCATGATATTGGTGGAATATTGCTAAAAGCGGAGCAAAACCCAACTCTCTCACTCACTTTGTAATGATACTGACAAATACGTTCCTCAAATAAGGTATCTGACTGGTATTACACTTAAAATTTTTGTCTGTTGGAATTACGATATTTGCTTTTGTTTTTACTTATTTACTGAAGCTAGAAGTTGTGAGGCCGTGGCAGCTGTGACTGATCAAAATGTTCCATATGTAGAAACTATCCAGCAATATATATCAGGGATAGAAATACTTTTTTTTCTAAGTGTGCCTTAGGGCACCAGACAAATATTTTAGGTGTGCCTTTCAGAAATCGAGTATGCCCACATGTTTTTAGAATAAATGACAATGATGATGATATTTGAAATTTATTGTTAAATAAAAAAATGGGTTTATGAGCATTCAAATATGTATGGTATTATTTAATTTGGAAAAAAATAATTCTTTTGGGGATTAAATGACTAAATGTGAGTTATGTCACTGAAAAATCATGCGTGTCAAAGGGGCACCGAGAACATGTTTTAGCCGTGCCATTTCAATATTTGCCGTGCCATGGCACACTAATATATGGGGTATTTCGAACCCTGTATATACAAATACATTGAAAGCTGCAGCTAAAATAACTCAATGTTGGATTATTATTTTTGTGATTATAATCAATGTTTCAGCCAATCATTGCATCAAAATTCTTTGAAGTTATATTGTTGGACATTTTTTTTAACCATCACAGGTACATTTGTGTTCATAGACCCATGAAGATCCGGGTTAGAATTAGTCTTCAGCAACCCATGCTTGTTGTAAGAGCCAACTAATGGGATCAAACAAACAAACAGTATATGATGATAGTAAATAAGAGTCCGACTATTTTAGATTCTGGGGGTAGACATGATTTTATCAATTTTTGTGCTTCAAACAAAACACACAAAAAAGATTTGTGCTGATTGCTAGTTTCTGGCTTAGTTTACAGGAATATAGTATCAATATAGACGCAGTAATATTTATGTCCACATTATAGAACAGAAAATTGATTAAGTTGTAAAGAACCATGTCTAATCTATAATTTATCTCATATGTGACATTTTCATTGACCAAGTTTGTAAGCACATGTTCATTTACCTGACATCTCTGAAGGATACTTTGTATTTTGTTATTGTGCAGAAAGCTTTACTCTTAGACCTTGTAAGCATTAATCAACTACAAAATGACACGTCAGTTTGCCGGTAGCTCCATATTGAAAATACTTTTTAAAGACAAACTCGCTTCACATTCTTCGATCCTCCAACAAGTGTCACTCCATGCACAGGTCAAACCAGTTGAAATTATAGTCCATGTATAGCAAACTTTGATTCGGGAAGAAATTTTTCAATACTTTAAAACTTGTAGTGTTGTTTCCCTTTAAGGATATATGTGTAACCATGGTAACTGACATAAGCAAGCTTTCATTGTTGTCCATATAAAGTGAAGTTCCTTGATGTTCAGTGAGTGAGTGAGTGAAATTAGTTTTACCCCACTTTTAGCAATATTCCAGCAATATTACGTCTGGGACATAAGAACTGAGCTTCACACATTGTACCCATGTGGGGATTCGAACCTGGGTCTTTAGCGTGACGAGCCAACGCTTTAACCACTAGGCTACCCCACCGCCCCCTGTATTTATACTAGAAGTGAAGTAATGCATGCATGTTTCAGTGTACTCTGTACCATTTGTGCGCTGATTCACTTCAGGTATTCCCTCCACATAAAGCTGACAAACAATTAGGTCACTGAAATATTGTTCAAACCGTGACAATCCAAATCACTGTGAAGAAGATATATAGAGAATACTACACGAGGTCTCATTACATACGAATTAGAGTGTCCTTCCTATGGTATCTCAGAAACCATAGGAAGGTCACGAGTTTCGTATAATTCGTATGTTTTGAGACCGAGTGTAGTATTTTATTTATTACCCACGTCCTACATGCTTTAAATTGACAAAATAGTATTTTTGTTATTTTTATGGTTTCAAACTGAAACAGGTTTCATAAACAGGTTGCGGAAGAATGTTGTTCTGTAGTACACTTTTTGCATGACGTCACTACGCCTTGCTCGTCTGCCCCCTTGGTAACCGACGTCACGATGCATGTCAGTTGTCATCCACCTCGGACAGCCTCCTACATTATACTACTCCATAGCACCCTGTTTCTTGGTTTGCAGTTGCTTCACTCAGCTAACATCACTGGTGGAAACTTTGCGTTTATGTTTTTCGACGCATATAATGTCTCAGTTGGACTCACAATTAAACAGCGACACGGCAATGCTCGCAATGTTTACATTCCCACAATGCATTTAAGTTGTAGAATGAATGAATTCACGTGTTTGTTATGAATGATAAATAGTTACGTCAGAATGTGACCTAATTGAGAGGTCATCAGTTATCCAATCAAATCGTTAGAATCTCAGGTTAAGTCGTTACGACACAGGTCGACGCGATACGACACTCCTGTGACGTACGAGATTAGTATGCAACTACCCATACGTTGACCTCGTGGGTAATAAATATATATATCTGCCTGGTAACACATTCACATGAAATACATGTGCTTGTCCTGTTTAATTATTCAGTTCACTGCAAGCTCACTTTCTGGACATGACTTGTTTCTAGCCAGTGTGTAATTGGTATAAGATCTCATGAATATGGTTGACAGAGTCAGGCAGGCATGAGTGAGTGGCCCAGTGGTTATAACCATCTTATTTGTAGTTCCTGCAAGATGCACACGGTCACAGTGGTTGGGTAGACAGAGGGTTAGATTGGATCATCGTCTGTGTCTTGCCCAAACACTTTAGAAATTGGTGCTTGTTGTTAGTAGCAAAGTTACCTGGAAGGCTGTCAGCATAATGGGGGAGGTGGGGTAGCCTAAGGGTTAAAGTGTTCACTTACTCCACCGAAGACCCGGGTTTGATTCCCACATAGATATAACGTGTGAGACCCGTTTCGGGTGTATCCTGCCTGATATTGCTGCAATATTGCGAAAGGCAGCATAAAACCTTATTTACTCACTCACTCAGCATTAAAGGGATACAACAAGGATTGACTGGCTCCGTCAATATACAGTTTACTGGACTGGTATGGTATGGTATGGTATGGTATGGTTTGTTATGGTATGGTATGGTATGGTTATGTTATGTTTGTTATAGTATGGTTATGTTATGTTTGGTGTGTGTGTGTGTGCATGCAGCATACCAGCACAACAGTCACCTATATGCCCACTCAAACACACCTTCATATAAATGTAATAATCTTGAAACTCAGAAACTTCTAGAAATGCTTTATTCAGGTGATGCATGAAGTTTGTCCTTATCTGACTCTCCACACTGAGAATCTTGAACCAGTTAAAGCCCGTTTCCACCAAGACAAGAACTGTAATATTTCACCAGGGTAGATTAACACTGTATATTTTCCTACAATTGTCCTGAACGTCCCATCAATACTTGTCGTGAATACTTTAAAGAAAAGTTGTACCTCACTGCAGAACATGATGCATGGTTGACTGTCATTGTTTACTGCGAACAGCTGTTTTTCTGCCGTCTTCCCACCTGGTGTTGTGCACGTTACTAAGCAATCTAGAATGACAACATGCTGAGTATCAGCAGGTGTGTTGTGATACGAAACATAACCATATGGACCCATGATACTATTGTATCATGGTACATCACAAGGTATATTTAGTTAGTGAGTGAGTTTAGTTTTACGCCTCACTCAGCAATATTCCAGCCATATGGTATTATGATGGCGGTCTGTAAATAATCGAGTCTGGACCAGAACATCCAGTGATCAACAGCATGAGCATCAATCTGCGTAATTGGGAACCGATGACGTGTCAACCAAGTCAGCGAGCCTGACCACCTGATCCCATTAGTCACCTCTTACGACACGCATGGGTTACTGAAGATCAATATTCTAACCTGGACCTTCATGGGTCATCAGTAATATGAAAGAATATTATATGAAAGAAAGGATTGGGGTTTCTTCTTCTTTGATGCTAGTTTCTCACCATAGTCATGAACTTTTTCAGAAAGTTCCACCAGGATTTAATAGGGCATGTAGCGTAAGTTAAACTTGGGTTATACTTTCTCAGTAAAGGACAGATTCTAGTCCTTTTGTTGGGTTGAGTCCCATCCTGGATTTGAACCTTCACCAATATGAGTCCGGCACGTAATCGCTAGCAGTGTAGCACACAGGGTCAGCGATCTAACTTACTCGGCCACTCGTCTTCCAGATTGGATGTTCCGGGAAGGGACTCAGCCTAGCAAAAGTACAAGACTCTGTACTTTACTGAGAAGGTGTAATCTAAAATATAACATATGTTACATTTGTCCAATTACTAAATGACATTCTGTATTCTTAGCAGGGCATGTTGAGTACAGATTAACAATGGGGGAGGACCGTTAGTGGTTAAAGCTGATGTTATAATATTAGTGATATGGCATAGGCGGATCCAGAGAGGGTTGCAGGACCATTGAAACTCTCGTGAAATTGAAGTGTGCACCCCTTTCTCAAAAAGCTGTATCCACCCCTGTAAGGACTTCGTACACATTTTTGGTTTTGAGGGTTTGCCTTATTTTATCAGTATAAGACCAAAGGACCAAAGATGTTTGTTTCTTTATCTGGGTGCCCTTGTACAAAGCATTCTTAGCGCTAAGGTGACCGTTACACCCATACTTTAACACTGACTTAAGTTAGTCTTAGTGCTAAGGTGACTGTTACACCCATACTTTAACACTGACACTGAGCTTAAGGTGACAGTTACCCATACTTTAACACTGACTTAAGGTAGTCTTAGCGCTGAGGTGACCGTTACACCCATACTTTAACACTGACTCAAGGTAGTCTTAGTGCTAAGGTTGTTTTAACAACAGCACCCTGATATGTAAAGTGTCGATGATGGTGTCGGTTTTGGTATTGTATGCTATTAGGATTTACTCAGTATTCAGTGAATCCAACCGTATCTCTTCATAAATTCAGTTCATTATTTGCAATCCACAGAATTAAATCAATTTGTTTTTACTCAATTCGGTTGTTATTTATTAAATTAAAATATACACAATAGAATATTTCCATGTCAGGCAAGAAAATAGTCAACATTCTGATGAAATATTTTTAGAGTAATGTGGTCCCTGGTGATTGTCCTGATAAATTGACACTGTCAACATCGTCAAAACATGTCAACGAGTATATTTTGTTATTGTTTCTCTGAATGTAATGAATAATACTGGTGATGACCTTTTATTGTATTCATTACTGAACAGTCATATTCATTATCCAATATCCGTGACAGTATCATATTCCCCTTGTAGTGTATATGTGGTATATAGCATGCACTACCAGTGCACGGAACCCGTGAAGATCCGGGTTAGAGAAGCGGTATTCAGTTTCCCATGCTTGTAAGAGGCGACAAACAGGACTGGATGGTCAGGCTCGCTGACGTGGTTGATACATGTAGTTGTATCCCGATTGCGTAGATAGATGCTCATGCTGTTGATCATTGGATTGTATTGTCCAGACGCGATTATTTACGGACTGCTAAATTAAAGCCGGAACATTGCTGAGTGTGGTGTTAAAACAGCAAACAAACAAAAGGGATGCTCCAAATCCGCTATGACTAGCATGAGGCAGATATCATGCGTATCACGAATACTGGGTTGAGTTGAGTTGAGTTGGGCTTTACGTCACATCGGCATTATTCCAGCCATATAGTGACGAGAACAAGTCTGCATTAATATACATTGTAAGTACAAAGTGGTTTCGTTTCAAAGACACACGAATACTGGGTAACGAGTGTGGATATTGGCTGACAAATACAATAACATGTCAGCAGTTGATGTATTATTCAATAAATTCAGTGAAACAATCACAAAATACATTTTATTACATGCTGCTGACAGAATTAATTTCTTATGATAATGACCTGTGATCACGTTACAGTCAAATCAAATATATAACAGTGTTGACTGTTATCTAGCCTGGCGTGGATATATTCCGTTTAGCTTATTTTGTTTTGATAAATAACATTCAACTCCAGGTAAAAACACTAATTTGTATAAAAAAATCATGAATATTTATTTCTAGTTTTAAGCAATAATGAATAAAATTCACATAGGGATACAGTTTGAATAACTTATTACGCGAGTGAATCGTAAAAGCCCTAGTATGCAAATACCTCTTCTCCATTTTTCATATTTTGTTAGTGTCATGTTGCAGGTTTAACATCAATATTAATGGCTATTGGGCAATGATATGAGAAGCTCAGATCCATTAAATCATTTGTTTGCACCTGTCTGTGGTTGCGTCAAGGACGCCCTGACTTCAGTGTTAATTTGAACCACTGGGCATAACGAGTTTGTTTGACAGGTGAAGAGGACGTATTCACAGGTGTTGTCTTAAACGCGTTCACATCACGGAAAACGGCTCAGCTTCAAGTCTGTTTCAATAATTCACTCACACATTTGATGATGCAACACCAGGCAAGATGCATGACTCACTGTACCTAAGCCCCAACTATTGACTCTTTAAATCAGAAATTCAAAAGAAATTGCTGCGAAAATGGGGAAACATTTGTTTAGCGAACATAGTGGCTGATGCAATATTAGCAATCAATGAGAAAATGTCAGGTATTTTTATGTGTTTTATTACATGTTAACAAGGAGGATTGGCTTCAAAGAAGGAAACTTTTCAAATCAATCTTAGGGTCATAAAAGGACTTCTGTGTCTTGACATGCATCCATAATGTTCACCACCATTCCAACAGTGTCAGACTTAACTAGCACAAGGAGAAAATTGTTAGATGGCATCAGTGATGATGAAAGACTTGAGTTTTATGTTTGGGAAATATATCATTAATTAAAAGTCTGGTAAGTTTAGCTGAATGAAACAAATTGTCGTTAGTTAAGGAAGGGCTGATGCAAGACTTGGAGATTATGTTTCGAAAATAATTTATTATTATTAATTTAAGGTTTGGTAAGTCTAGCTGAATGAGCTAATTGTTGTGTGTCGTTAGTCTGGGAAAGGATGATGCAAGACCTGAGTTTTATGTTTCGGAAATAATTTATTAATCAAAGGTCAGATAAGTCTAGCCGAATGGCAAAATGTGTCGTATCTCGTTAGTTGGGGAAAGGATGATGCAAGACCTGAGTTTTATATTTGGGAAATAATTTATTTATTAATGGTATGGTAAGTCTAGCCAAATGGGAACAATGCTGTACATCGTTATAGTTGTGGAAGGGATCATGATGAAAGTCTTGATTTATATATTTGGGAAATAGTTTGTTAATTAAAACAATGAGTTATGGAAGCTCCAGCTGGTTGTGAAAATTGTAGATGTCGTTAGTTGTTGAGGGGATCGTGCAAGACTTCATTTTGCCTTTATGTTAACATATAATCAACCCGATAAATTAACACCATGGTCTCTTTGTAAGTCTAGCTCAAAGTGAAAATTGTTGGAATTGTCCTAAGCTGTGATGATGATGTTGTAAGATTTGTCTTTGTCTTTTGGGAAACAAATAATCAACATGATTAATTAACACCATGGTCTCTCGTAAGTCTAGCTCAATGTGAAAATCATAGGAATTGTCTAAAGCAATGGGGGAAAGGTGCAAGACTTGAGTTTGATATTTGGGAAATTATTGATTAAAATAATGAGGTCTCGTAAGTCAAGCTGGATCAGGAATTGTCATATATCGTAGTTGTGGAAGGGATTATGCAAGACTCGATTTTGCCTTTTGGAAAACTACTAATCAACATGATAAATTAACACCATGGTCTCTTTGTAAGTCTAGCTCAAAGTGAACATTGTTGGACTTATCCTTAGCTATGAAGATGATGATGCAAGATTTGCCTTTTGGGAAACAAATAATCAGCATGATAGTAAACCCTGAGGTCTTTCGTCCAGCTCAGTGTGGAAATTGTAGGAATTGTCTAAAGCTGCGAAGGGGATGATGCAAGACTTTGGGTGGTTGGAAAATAATCATTCTGACGTTGAATCGTACGAACAGCTTATATTTTTTACATGTATGTTCTTACCAATATTATCAAATATTGTCTGATCCCGACGTGATTGTTTTCAGACTGCTGTCATATAGGTGGAAATTGCTGAGTGAAGCGTAAAGGGGATAAAACATCATTATCAAGGTTTATCATGTCCAGACTTAATGACTGACAGACTGCCATCAGCATATCGTTGGGTTTGGTGGGAAAGAACTTACTGGTACAAAATTATGAAACATTGGCCTCATCATGCTCAGTGAGAACCAGATCGAATATTTTGCACTGGTGAGAGATTTACATCTTTTGATTGAAAGCATGGGTTGTTAATGAACGACAGATGTCTCGTTTTTAGTATGGATGATTTATTGCCATGTTTGTTAGAACAGGATCTGAAACATATAATATACATACAAATGGATACACGCATACATAAGTATGTAAGGGTACATCAGATTTACAAGTAATTATACTTTTATTCATTAGTATCAGACAGATGATGTAGTTATTTCATATTTTTATCAAATACATTCAAGGATTGCTTTTAAAGTTACACATACTATATATACGTGTCTGTATACATGCATAACATTATAATATGCATAATTATTGTTTGCATAGATACACAAAGAGACATTATAAACAACACCATGTTGGTTATACAGGGACTTTAGTAGGGATGGTAGTTGTATAACTGCTTCTAGATACAAATATAACGTTTATGTTTGTGTGTATTTATATTCACGTACATGTTTCTGTTCATATTCTGACCACTGTTGCCACAAATCATCCCTACTAATAACACAACCAGTGTTCATGATCACTACCTGTTACCATGGTTACATGGTGCAGGTTTATAAACTCCAGTGTTAGAAGTAAAAGGCGGCCCTACATCTATGACATGGTTGCCACCCACACCCTATTTGATACAGTATCTGAATTCTTGGTACATATCATTATGAAAATTGCTGGGACTCTAAAGGGCTCTCCATTGTGTCAACGATCCTGAAACTTCAAATGCAAGGATTAGTCTGTCTCACAGTCCCTGAACCACATTATTTTAACTAAATCCTTGCCCTCCCTGCAATGCTAAAGTCCTAAATGAAGCAAGTCTTCATTTCAACAGGTCTCTTTTTCAATCTAAATGAGTTTATTTGTTGCAATCAACATTTCATATATTCACAGATTAAGCGTTAGTCTAGCGTAGAGTTCAAATTTATGTAGAAATCTGTATTGAAAGGAAAAAAAACTTCATCAATGTTATCCCTCCATAAAAATGATCAATTTAAAAATTCGAAAGATAGTGTCATATTGATTCAAAAACAAATATCCAGCTTGTCGACCATCTGCACCATTATTTACATTTATGTGTAGATTCGCGATGTTTTGTTCACGTGACTATTCATCAACATGTCATGGAGGTGTCAATATGGCAGTTTTCAATATGGCCAAACAAAAACTATTCAGAAGACTAGAAATGTTGTTTTAAGGATTTTGGAAGCCTGTTTGTTTCAAAACTGCCAAGTATCTGTCATAGGCAGGGATGAGAATTTTCTGCTAATCCACAGAATTCCGCGGATTTCATCGGGCTGGGGTCACACTTGGGAATCGCCCCCAACACCACAGGCTCATTTTCCTCTTTTTTCACTCATACCCATTCTCATCCCTGCATAGTGCATTATACAGAGCAAATTGGACATTGTGTTTCAACAATGTGTAGACTATAGTTGAATGACTATGTTGAATAGTGCACTCTGATTTCATTAATTACTCAAAAATTGATTGGTCTTCCCAAACCAACCAGAGCCGCCATATAGCTGGAATATTGCTGAATGCAGTGTTTAACAACCAACCAACCAACCAACCAACCAACCAACCAACAACCAACCGAACCATCTTGTAGTCACATACAATGTTCCATTTTCAAACACAAACAATTTTCACCTCCCTCAGATTTCAACATGAACAACTGCTTTAATCTGCTACCAGGTTAACTTTGTATATAATTAGTGGCGTTGGGGTAGCCTAGTGGTTAAAGCGTTCGCTTGTCACTAGAGGTGTGACGATACGGAAATGTCACGATACGATACGTATCGCGATATCTTAGAACGATACGATTCAATTCAATGCATATCACGATATGCTATCTTTAGTTATTTTCTTTGAAATAAAGTATATTTTGATAGCAAGTAACAGTGTAATTTTGTACATAACCGATTTCTAGTGAACATTAACAATTATAAGGTCAATGATACATATCACGATATGAACAAAAGTATCGATATATATATTGTCAGATAAAGTATCATGATTATCGATACTACGATGTATCGTCACAGCTCTACTTGTCACGTTGAAGGCCTGGGTTTGATTCCCCAAATGGGTACAATGTGTGAAGCCCATTTCTAGTGTCCCCCCAAAGTGATATTGGTGGAATATTGCTAAAAGCGGCGTAAACCCAACTCACTCATATATGATTATGTAGAAGGTGAACCACAGTACCTGTGCAGTCAGACTGTGTCAGTGCGTGTGTTTATTATCCTAAATTGAAATGTATTACCCAACTAGAACAATGTACATTGTCAACCTCAGCTCCAGTTGCTCTGAATTAATGTTCGTCTCTGGGGCTATGAGTGACTTTTTCTAAAGTTGTTTACGCCAGTGTCCTTCAGGAATAATATGTTATGTCTTACGGGACACGCCTATCTAATGCATTACACATTCCATCAAATGTACCTAGCATTCTACCATGCATTCTCTCAAAAAGCCTTAAACTGACAGCTTGCATAGAATAGATTCCGATGTCAGTGTCTTGGTGCATTGACACGGAAGCAATACCGGGGTAACGATGTTTGTTTCCGACATTCCAGCTGACCATTGTTTCACTTGTGAAATGTTTATCACTTTATCACATCTGGGAAATGAAGCAAAACTATCATCTGTGTACTTGACCTACTTGTCATATACTTATTGATCCTAAAATTATTTATCGTATCTTTTGCAGGCAATCTAAAAAAGGTGTCATCTCTAATCTAGTTAGAATTTATTTTTTTATGGTTATGTGGGAGTCATGATGTCATCACCTATTGTACTATATGAGTGTGTGGGAAGACAACAAGAAATGCATATTTTGTTTGTGTGTTATTATGTTGACTTGCACAGATTGATGTTCATGCTGTTGATCACTGGATTGTCTAGTCCAGATTCGATTATTTACAGACCACCGCCATATAGCTGGAATATTGCTGAGTGCGGTGAAAACTCACTCACTCACTCACTCCCAGATTAAGCTGATGTAATGTGATACAGCTGTAATTCTGTTTAAAGTGACATTAATGATTAAACCATAATCGCTCACTCTCTCACTCACTCACTCACTCACTGTATATATACTCAACCCGGAAGATCCGGGTAATATAAGTAAAGTGATAGTAATAGTGACTGCGTAGATGGCGCTCATATCCAGGCACACTCCCTGCTGTCGGCACAACGTACATTACTATTGGTCTTCATCAACCCATGATTGTTAATTAACAGGATCAGATGGTCAGGCTCGCTAACTTGATTACACTTGTCTTCATATCCCAATTGCGTAGATTGATGCTCATGATGTTGATCATTGGATTGTCAGGTCCAGACTCAATTATTTACAGACCACCACCATATAGCTGTAATATTATAGGTTTCGCTTTAAGAAATGTTAACCTACTTCCACCAGGTGCAACCTAAGATAAAAACCAGCCAAATTCCAGTTGCACTGCTTTTATTGCAATATGTAATGTAAGAAATATGCTAATGAATTATTTAGATGTTTTATTCAGAGTTTATCCACTCAAAAATTGATTTTCACCTGGTGCTAGTTAGACTAATAACTAGGTTGCACTTTGTAATATTGGGTTGCACCAAGCAACAAAGCACTAAATCGAGCCCTGTATTATGACTTTGTATCATCTAACTCCTAATAACTCTTGGTTGTTTCCAGGTGGGGTTGTCATTGGTTGTCTGGGCAGGATGTGGGTTGCTGTCACTGATCGGAGCAGTGTGTTATGCTGAGCTCGGAACAACCATCGCCAGGTCCGGAGGAGACTATGCCTACATCCTGGAGGCATTCGGACCAGTCTGTGCTTTCCTTCAACTCTGGGTAAGATTGTTACCTTGCTGTAAATTTTCGGTTTCGATGTTTACATTTTCACCTTGCAGTAATCAAGTTTACTGGGGACGGAGGACTATGTATTCAGCAGCGTCCATACGTATGTCCGACCGTATGTACGTCCCGATTCTTGTAAACGCGATATTTCATGAACTGTTGTGCCCAATGTCTTCAAATTTGGTGACAGCCTACATTTGGGGATTACACCGACACCAGTCGATTTTGGTGACCTTGACCTTATTTTCAAGGTCACCACGACACTTTGACCACTTTTCAAACTCTTGTTAACGCAATATCTCGAGGAACTATTGTACCCAATGTCTTCAAATTTGGTGACATCCTACACTAGGGGATTACGCAGACAACAGTCGATATAGGTGACGTTGACCCTATCTTCAAGGTCACCATGCCACTTTGACCACTTTTTGAACTCTTGTTAACGCAATATGTCATAAAACATTGTACCCAATGTCTTCAATTATGTCGACAGCCTACATTGGGTGATTATACGGACACCAGTCATTTCAGGCATCTTTTATCTTTTATCAAAAATATATAAAGTAGTAAATGTGTTATAAATATTTCGTTCTTCTTTAGCGGCGGGGACATTGCCATATTAGTGGCAAACACTTGTCATATATTGAATGAATCTTAAGTTCATCAAATAACATATGTCCATAAAGTCTTTTCTGAAACTGCTGTGGATCAGTGGATGAAGCTAAACATTTCACGTAATTTCACACACCATCTAGTTCAGAAAGATCAACTTCAATTTTCAATATGGCCCGGCATGGCAGCCATATTTAAAAACCTATTTATAGACATTTCTTTGTCATGTTTGTGCAGAATGTAATGAAGTTCTGGATATTATTGGGTTACGCCGCTATTAACAATATTCCAGGAATATCGGGCTTCACACATTGTACCCATATGGGGAATCAAACCCAGGTGCTCAGTGTGATGAGCGAACACTTTAACCACAAGGCTACCCCACCGCCCGCTTACTAAATGAAAAGCTTCTATTATAAGTAGCCAAAATCTAATGGTGGAAAATCTTACGTTGTCCTCAAGCTGTTGCAGTGTAATCATCTGTTTGTGATTTGAGGTTATCTTGGTCAAATCTCAGTTCCTTCTGTTATCACAAATTACGGTCAAGGACAAATATCAGAACTCTAATGGCCATAGTTCGATGCTACCACATACATGAAAAACAAAGTAAACATGCTTCAAAACAATAAACAAACTGGTGTGTGTTTGTGTGCCTTAAAACATACTTCTATAAATACTATGATGAATAATATTTCAGAAAATAATAAACTGTGATATTGCTGGAATATTGCTAGGGCAGAAAAAACTAAACTCACTCACTCACTCACTCAGTAGAGATTAATCCTCATCACAAAGAGGTTCAGGTTTTAATCACTCACTGATAAAGTGTCTAGACAGACCCTGGAAATATGCACCATAACGATTCACTGTCCCCTGTTTAGAAAAATACACCACTAACTTTCTGCTGAGTAATCGCACTTGGTATCTCTCAGACTCATTTCCGAACTTTCAATTTTAAATTATAGTTAAGCATGTTAATATGTTTAACTTACACTTGAATTATGCCGGATGCATTTTAGAATGCATGGTGTTTTGAGCCATAGACTAATGCTTGTCTCTGAATATATTTAAATTTAATAGTTACAAATAAATCCATTTAAATTCAAAAGGAGCCCAGTGAGGGAGCCTGAAGAAATCTAGACTTGCTTTATTTAGGACTTTAGCATTGCAGAGAGACTAGACAGTAGGAAAAGTAATGTGGTTCAGGGATTGTGGGACTGACTAGTTGAACCAGAGAATAACAGGTTGTACTTTTAATTGTTTAATGTAACCATTATGCTTACATAGATTACATAGTGTTCCCCCCTAGGATTCAGAAAGGGCAGGGTAAATTAAACAAAAAGGGCACTTCATAATCTAAAAGGGCACTTTGGTGAGGATTATTGAAAAAATAACAATCACAAAATGTATATGAAGTCAAATGCTCTTATAATTTTATTTCTAAAGTTCATTTATTACTCTTCTCATTTTGTATTTTAAGATCAAAATTTGGAAAAAAAAGCATTTCAAGACATTAACCTGTTGTCACATTTGTTTACAATTTCACAAAACATGCAAACAACAATTTACAGTCTTCTTTTCTTTCTTGCCAAGCATCTGTTCACAACTTTTTTTCAAGTCAATGTCTGAAACTGACGATGCATTCAGGCTAATCATGAGAAGTCCGTTGCAATTTTGAACACTGAGTCTGTTTCTATGATCTGTCACAATCAGTTTCACTTTTGAGAACACACTCTCAACTTCAGAAGTGGACAATCACAGTTGCATGAATGGACAGTAATTGAACAATGTTTGGATTCAAGTTTCCAAGTTGAGGCTTGAGTCTTCAAAATGGTGGAGGGTGAACTGGTGTCAAGCTCCTTTACTTGACTCCACTCAATCTGTGTTTGGTCGACATTAAGTCCATTTCTGCCCTTGGTGTTCCACTTAGAACAAAATGAACAAAACATCATTCCCTTCTTTTTGTCATCTTCTGAGTACCTCGACCGGGGACGGTTTTGTTGCCACTTTGTGTCAAATGCAGTCTTGTGACCACCATCTTTCTTCTGTGTTGGATTAACTGACTCTGTCTCGTGTGCCCTTGAATTTTCATAGGAAACTACCTCTGACTCGTCCGGTCTGAAAAAAAAAAAAAGTACAAAGTTCATATACTAGTACCATATTCAAAATATTCTTAGATATTAAATTTGCAACATAATTATTAAAACAAAAATATCACACAATAATACACCTGAACGTAAGTATCTACTGTGGAGAGCCTCGACATTGTTTGAAATCGTAAAATAGTTTTACGCCTTCAAGACTTACATTTTTATGAAATCGACAGTAAACACTAAAAACAAGGCTACCAAGTGAAGCTGTTATGCAAGCTGTATTAACTATTTCATTTCCCAGGACAAACAACAAAATAATTCAAGATCAATTTCAAATTGCCGATGGATTCAAAATGGCCCGGACATTTCGAGTTTCAGATTTTCACCTAAACAGCACAGTCACATGAATATCGGTCCCCCAAACGTACCAAAATACATCCCATGTAGTTCACACATCGTTGTCTTTAATAAATGAAGGTCTTATTTGAAAGGCATGTGAAATTGAAAAGGAAATCAGCGGCCGAAAAATCCACGAACTTAGAGGCACATACCTGTTAGGAGCGAAGAAATCTATTAGTCGTGACACTTCCTTGCTTCAACCTTCACCGCTTCTTCTCTTTTCCATTTGATTCTTTCCTTGGTAGGCATTGTGATTTGTAAGCGAATTAAACACATTTGACTTAAGCCATGGTTTAAATGCCAATTTCTAATCATTATCAAAACAATTTGGTGTCTCCCATTGAAAGGGAGAGAACTCCGTCCTTAATAAAATCCGAGAAAATACACACGGGTTGTTGTAAAATCAAGCACAGCTGGAAAAAACTGGGATTGAGGCGAAAAGGACAGGCGCAAAACAAAAGGGCGCCAAAAATCAAAGGGCAGCTGCGGCCCAAAAATCAAAGGGCAGGCATGGGATGCCCTCTAAATGTCTCATGAGGGGCCTCACTGGTGTGAGGTTAGGATGGTCGCCGAGAGCCGGAAGTGTCTCATGACCGCCAAACCAAAAAGCGTTAAAATATGGTACTTGTTGGTGCCTGGAGCCGCATTAATGGGTACAACAAGGAGGCTCGAGTCAGTATACTGTGTCTGAGTGGGGTATTCATGCTTCACCGCGGCATGGTATCTCAGTGGCGTTAGCACTATAAAACCAGCTTCAGTCTGGGCTAGTACAAGCAGCCGCATTAATACATGCATGCACATCGTCATATGAAGAAATATTGGTCGGCCGCGACAAAATCTGTGGCGTTAGTGTCCCAATTTCACCTCACCTCATAGTGTCATATTTTAATCCATTTAAAAAGAAAGTCTAGAATAGGGCTGGCAAGCTTCAAACTATCGATGCATTGCAATTGTTGAGTCTCTGATAAGGCTCCTTTTAATTATGAAAACCAAACTGCAACTTATGCATCGATAGTATCAATAGTTTACGTAATTGACTTCCGTTGATAAAGCGAAGCGCTTAGATACAGAGATGTTTTGGTACAGACTTGCAGCTTCATTGAGGTTATGTTTTATCTGTTAACTTGATTTGTGTTTCAAGTTTCTTGTCACTCATTAAAAGAGACTGAAACTACTTCAACTTGTTTTTATTTCATATAAACTACACATTCATTTGGGAAGTGAATTCAAATGAGACAATTCAAGGAGAGAAAAAAATCTATTGCAATAGTGGGTCGAAATAGTCACAATAGTATGTTGCAATAGACTATCGCTATCACAATAGTAAATGGTTCCCCTCAACAGTCACCCCTGGTCTACACACACTTTTGTGCCCATATTTTCATAACGTAGCTTCTTAAAGATGTTACACTGAATTATCCAGTCTGTCATACAGACCCTGGGGGCGGTGGGGTAGCCTAGTGGTTAAAGCGTTGGCTCGTCACGGCGAAGACCCGGGTTCGAATCCCCACATGGGCACAATGTGTTAAGCCCATTTCTGGTGTCCCCCGCCGTGATATTGCTGGAATATTGCTAAAAGCGGCGTAAAACTAAACTCAGTCAGTCAGTCAGTCAGTCATACAGACCCTGAAACAAATATATCCAAGAAAGTCTAGAATATGTGGCAAGTTTCACAGTTTCAGGAATGAAGAAAATCTCTGGGCTCCTTTTAATTATGTTTTATGAATATTTTTTTGTTGTTGACAGTTTCTTTCAGTAAAATATATATGTCCATTTCATAGACTAGATGTTATAGTGTAATATACTAAGTCTATAAATCATCCTAAAGTTAGATCAATCTGTTTTCGTTTGTGTGCTCTGACTATAACTGTTTGATCTAAGTATTTTTTATATAACTGCTCAGAGCCTAATGGACACCAGCTGATGTGTGTACAGGTGTTGTGTATTCATTCTGCTGACAGTAAACTGTCAGATTGACATAGGTAATGAAACAGACCATGTGGTTGATGTGACGTGATACTAATTTACTGCTGGTGCCACTGTCACTGGTGCTAGTTTCACTATGAACTATTGGCCACGTAGCAAGGATGGAAATTACCAGTGGCTTGATAGCCAGTGTTATACAATCAAAGGGCTTCAACAATCGTTATCCCCCTGTCATGTAATGTGGGGGGATGTAGTAAATGCCTCATCTGTCTGTCCATTCATCTGTAATCATTTGCTTCTGGAACTTAACTCGAAAACCTTTCAGTATCTTTCAACAAAACTTGGCAGATATATCAAACAAATCCCAAAGTGGTGCCTTTTGCTATTTGCGGAATTTTGGCATTTTTTTTAATTTTTATTTTCCATGGAAACAATTTGGACTCGGTCACAAAAGGGAGGGATGGGCATCGTTTCCAAAACTTGGCAGATATATCAAACAGATCTTGAAGTGGTCCCTTTTGGGCATTTGCTTTTTGTATGATTTGCATGGAAACAATTTGGACCTAAGAAGTCTTTATAAAAATCAAGTTGGACTTTAACTGTCAGATGAATTGTTCTTTCAAATTTGTGGGGGGAGGGGGGATTTGTCATCTTCTGATGACTCTTGTGGTAATTAATGTTTGATTTATGTTGATAGTTATCATGTGATATGTTTTGGAAACAAAATAATATTTCCATTTATTTCTCATTTCCAGGTAAATTTGATAATTATTCGACCTACAGCTCAAGCAATCGTGGCCTTGACCTTTGCAAATTATGCACTCCAACCCTTCTTCGCGGACTGTGTTGCACCCGACGCTGCTGTTCGCCTGTTGGCTGCATTGTGCATCAGTAAGTAGCCTGTGTTTACATCTGTACAAGCCCCGAGAAAATCCATTTGCAATCTCAAATCCTCAGAAACCCATGCTTTTTCGTAAGAGGCAACTAACCAGTCTTCAGGAGACAAGGGCGGTGGGGTAGCCCAGTGGTTAGAGTGTTCACTCGTCACGCCATCGGTCCAGGTTCGATTCCCCGTATGGGTACAACTTGTGAAGCCCATTTCTGGTGTCCCCACCATTATATTGCTGGAATATTGCTAAAAGCACCATAAAACCATACTCACTCACTCAGAGACGAATGGATGATCAGACTTGCTGACTTTGATCGTACATATGAATGATCCCAATTGCATAGATCGATGCTCGTGGTGTCAATCGCTGGATTGTCTGGTCCTGAACCTGTTTCATTACAGACTGATTTAAAGTAGTCCAGACTGCTGGACAATAATTCTAAATAAATAATAATAGATTCAACATGGATAAGATACCAGAGTGTTATTAAAGTGCAGTAACATCTGGTACAGGCTTCGGCTACACTCTCATGTCAAGCTGACATGCTGTGATGTACCTGCTTCTAGCGGCCTGTTACGATTTACCCACTTATTCAGTAAATTATACAGTATGCCTTCATGAGATCAATTCAACCGCATCCGTGGTGTAGTGGTTAGAGCGTCCACCTGGAGAGCGGAAGGTCGTGGGTTTGATCCCTAGCCGCGTCATACCTAAAGACTGAAATATTTTACTTGTTGGTCCCTGCCTGGCACTCGGCATTAATGAGTACAACAAGGACAGGTCAGCTCGGAGTCAGTATAATGTGTCTGAGTAGGGTATTCATGCTTAACTGCGGCATGGTTTCTCAGTGAGCTAGCGCTATAAAACCAGCTTAAGTCTGGGCTAGTACAAGCAGCCACACATACACATACACATGCATGCACGTCGACATATGAGCGAAATATTCTTAAGTATGACGTTAAACCCCATTTCACCTCACCTCACCTCATGAGATCAATTCATTATCTGTGAATATTAGAATCAAATATTCATGAATTTTTTAGTGTGTTTTATATGCGTTTGGGTATTATTTATCAAAATGCAATATGCGAAATGGAATATATCCAAACCAAGCAGAATGATAGCCATCACGCATTTGATCACACATCAAAAAATTAACAACCCGGGTTCGATTCCCCACATGGGTACAATATGTGAAACTGGTGTCCCTTGCCGTGATATTATTGGAATATTGCTAACAGTGGAGTAAAGCTAGTCACACACTTTCAGGGCTCCAGATAATTTTTCAACATCAGGAGTAGGTACTCCATGTTCTCACTTCAGGAGTACTGGAAAAACTTGAGAGTGCATTTAGAGTACTGAGTGGAATTTAATGGCGTATCAGTAATCTTGTGTTTCGTTTTATATATGCACCAACATTGCTAGTCTTGTGTAAACTGGTCAATAAACAATAAAACAATACTTTTCAGATAAATATGTTTGTAAATGATTCTAAGACCATACACCATTGCTGTAGTGCATAACTGCTACGTTTTCTAAATTATTTCCTACCGTATCGTGCATATTTTTTATCCGTACATACGCCGATACGGCCCTTATCTGGAGCCCTGCACTTTCCTTCAGAATCTCTCCTAATCTGCCTCAACTTCCTCCATCTCCTCCCGCCGTGATGTTGCTGGAATATTGCTAAAAGCGGCTTAAAGCCAAAACTCACTCAGTCCTCCATCTCCTCCGCCTGTTCTTCCAAAATATTTTATTTGAAAAAGAGATTTTGTTCGAGTTTGTATTGACTCAGGGTGAGTGATGTGTGATTTCTGTCCATCCATCCATTTTGTTTCCAAAGCTTAACTCGGACTATCATGTTAGCTGGTTTTGCAAGACTATAAAGCATGTTCAAATTATGTGCATTTTGGTAATTAACAAATAATCCATTTCATTTTGATTTTGATAAACAGGGGCGGATACAGCTTTTTGAGAAAGGGGGGGTGCACACTATTGAGAAAAGGAGGTGTGCACACTTAAATTTCACCTGAGTTTCAGTGGTCATTTAACAAACTTTCAGCACAAAAGGGGAGGTGTGCACCCCTGCACCACCACCCCAACCCCCCCCTCTGGATCCGCCAATGATAAACCTTGTGAAAGTTAACTGTACTGGGTATAGGAACTTGTTGTGTCATTAGTGACATCTGCTCATCTTTGAGCAATGTAAATCTAATTAGGCCAGACCAATTTTATTTCTTGTTTTACAGATTTTTATCCTCAGAAAACCAAAAGGCAGGAGGCAAAAAAATAAAAAATTAAAATCACCAGTCAAAGTAATATTCCTTTTAAATACCAAAAGTATTTTCATTTTTGGCAATTTATGAAGTGTATTTGGGGCAAGAAAAATATTTAAAAACATTTGGGGGTAAGTTTACATTTTTGGCCAATAAAAACATGATTTTATTTTTTGAACGGGGAAAATTAATTTATTTATTTTTCTTATTCTTGAAACAATACAACGGAAGGATCCTTAAACAAGAAATTATATTGGTCTGGCCTTACTGAACAGTTACTGTGATGTGATAACACCATTATGGCCAACTCTAACAGTCAAATAAGTGGCAGTTAATGACAACTTTGATGTTCCACCTGCACCAGCATGTAGTCAGACTGGAACTTGGGTAGCTAATTGTCACTCGTGGAAGCGTTGTAGAATAATGCCACTATTGTTAAACTTGATCAGAAGGATGCCAATTTCTTCATTCACTTAAGGCCAAATGCCTAAAAGTATATTTCTCAAAAATCGTTAAGTATGAGAGAATCAGAAGGTTCGTAAGTTTTTGAGTAGGACATGGAATTTTAGCTAGAGAACATAAAGACCTTGAGACAGGGTTAGAAATCTCTTTGAAAAGTCTACTAGCCATGAGGACTAGTGACTCTCACCAAACTACTAGTCCTCACACAATTTTGGTAGTCCTCAAATTTCAATCTTTTATAAACCAAATAATTAATTTGACTTAGTCAAGCAATATTTGCAGAGGTGTGGTATCATAACAAACAAACACACAATATGTTTTGGCATAGTTTAATTCAGTCATGACAGATGGATATGATCATATTATTCAAATAACACAACTACAACGTAAATAAGTTAATATTTAATGAAAATGCAAGCTTACACATTTATATTGTCCAGATAAATCTCGAAGGGAGCAAACAATGCAGCGATTTTTTCCATTTGTAACATGTCATAATTATCCCCTTACGTTCTTCTTTTCTATTTTTCATGTTTACGCAATCGGAAAACTATTATAAAGATATTTCTCAAATAATATGTATGGTCGTCTATTTCCCGATAACATTGGCCTTCCGCTCGTTCACGTGATACAACAGTGGGAAATACCTCCGTTTTCGAAGCTTCGTATAAAAAACATGTGAGGCGATTCGTTTGATGTCGGGTATCGTTCGAAAGCTCTGAACATCAACTATATCACTATACCCTTGCCAAGAGTATTTTCACTCAGTATTTCAGTTGTAAGAAGCGATTTGATTGGTTAAAGATTGGTTTCTAATGACGCTTTTCTGTCATAGTCTGCTACGAGTATCGTGATTGGTCAAAATCACACACGTAACCTAAGGCAGCCAATCATATTACAGCAATGAATACCGACTTCGTAAACGAAAACTTTTAGATTCAGACGAAAGTTTTGGGTAAATTCATGCTATTCTGAACGTGTTACGCACAATATCACTACCTATACGTATATTCTGGACCTTAGTGGACGTATCGTGCTAGGTTATGACCTGTGACAAAAATGCTTCATGCATATATTTTAGCGTTAAACATCGTGTCGAAGTTGGAGGCGACGAAAGCCGAGATGTCACTTGAATTACATTACACGATCGCACAATAAAGATGGGAATAGTAAGTTATAATGTAGGTTTGACAACTTTTATGAGTACCGTTATTGAATATATTCTTCAGTTTATTCAATTTGTTTAATTATCATCTCGAAACATCGTTACTTTGCTCTTTGACAACTTTGATGTGGACCTGTTGCCGAAGCATGTGTCCGAGAATTGTTTTTTCCAATCAGATTGCGAAAAATATCTTTTAATTTTAAGTTTGTCGATAATATATGGTCATTTGAAATGTAATAAGTGTTTTTAGACATTGTGAAAAGTGATAGATTTAATTAATGAATCATATGTTAGTTAGGTTCCTAAAGTTATATATCATTTTGATGCAACTACTGCCTAGTAGCCCGGCGGACTAGTATTGTTAGATGTTTTGGTAGTCCTCCGGGAGATTTACTACCCTTGGGCTAGCGGACTAGCGTAGATTTCGAACCCTGCTTGAGACTATACCTGGAATAAGTGAGAAGTTTAATGTTTATATGATAGGTATCGTAAATGTAACATAGAAGTGTGGCATTTTGAACAATTGTTTCAATAGAAGAGGAGATTATGTGTGGCTTACAAGATCCAGAATAATCAGAAATATTCTGAATATTCTGCAATTTTTTGTGATTGTTGTTGTGACTCCGTTCAGGGACAGATTTGACAGGTATTCGGTTACTATGGGAACTTGGTCAACCCTAAGTGCATTTCCAGATGTCTCAGCGAGGAATCAGATTTAAGTGCAGAAGTGTAGTGTTCTTAGTGACTGTTTATCTGGAGTTTCACAGATCCACTGATAAGAAGGGAATCCTCACAATCACAAAGAAATTTTGTGTCTGTGGCTTCTTTCATGTGCAGTAGAGCGCAAGAAATGTTCTGCCTTGAGGAAGGTATTTGGCAGTTGTAAAGGACCTGATCATTGTGCCAAGATGTGTGGACATTCTGGTAACTATGGTAACAAAACAAGAGTCGTTATAACAAACCTAGACTAATGCTTAGTTTCTGAATATATATAATTTTGATAGTAACAAACAAGCCCATTTAAATTGAAAAGGAGCCCTAGGGAGACCAGAGATTCAGAACCTGAACCTGAGGAAATCTAGACTTGCTTTATTTAGGTCTTTAGTACTGCAGAGAGGGCTTGGCAGTAGGGACAATAATGTGGTCCAGGGACTGTGAGACAGACTATAACAAACCCAGCAGACTAATTTTAGTTTGTTTTAACCATATTTTGTTACACATATTTCGATTAAGCTACACATCAAGTAATCAGAGAAAAAGCAGTTCTTTATTTCTGTCAGATGGTTATTACCATGATCGTTATGAATGTCGTTTACTGCGTAAAATGCTCAGTTGTTGACGACGGCAGTTTGGCAATGGTCCAGATTGACTGTAGTACCAATGTGAATAATCCACCATGGCAATACTTTCCAGATGTAGCATGGGTAATGTGACAGAAAGGGTGGGAATGAGGCATGGCAACTAGAGATGATTGCATTACTGGTTGCCAAGAATCCTTGTAACAGTAAAAAGTAAAGTGATGATTTTGTTGTTGTTGATGACAGAAGTGGCTGCCATGTACCAATGTTGGCATCTGGGTGTCTCAGCTGATGGATATTGTCACCTTGAATGTTGATAACTTTGAAAAACAACAACCTTGGAATTCTGGGATAGACTTGTTCTCTAACAACCATGGTGGTCCTTACAGTTAGTGTGTCTCCAAATTAGATCTCCTGTTTAGAACTGGGCTTCACTGCCCCTTGAGACACAGAGAGATCATGACAGGAATCTGAAGAGTTGTTTCAGCATAGCTAGGAGTAAGGCATGAGGGTCAAACAAATGCAACTCCATCAATACAGAAAGGAAGAGTCATGCCTGGAATGTCTTTAGACATATGGAAGGCTCATGCCTGACCCCTGGCAAGATGGTTGACATGGCACATGGGTCCAGCGACTCAACAATACAGCTTGGGTATCTTTCAACAGGTCAAACGCTGGGTGTCGGTCCAGTATTGCATGTAAGTGTCATGCACTAATATACAACACTGGAACCTTGGAGGGGTGAGGGGGAAGAGAGAAGATGTGATGGCGTAGCCGAGCTTGTCACACCGAAGGTCTGGGTTTGATTCCCCATATGGGTACAATGTATAAAGCCCTTTTCTGGTGTCCCAGTTGCGATATTGCTGGAATATTGCTTAAAGCGGCATAAACTAAACTCACTCACTCTCTCACTCACACCTGGTGTGTAATCTGAGCAAACACGGACAAAAAATATTTCCGATATTTTTGTTGTGAAGTTTCATACTTACACAAAGAGTTTTTTCTAGGAAAAGCTGGGCAGTGGGGTAGCCTAGTGGTTAAAGTGTTAGCTCTTCACGCTGTAGACCCAGGTTCGATTCCCCACATGGGCACAATGTGTGAAGCCCATTTCTGGTGTCCCCCGCCGTGATATTGCTGGAATATTGCTAAAAGTGGCATAAAACTAAACTCAGTTAGTCAGTCTAGGAAAAGCTAGTGGTGCATTAACAGTGTTTTTCAAACGCTTCACACTCAAATACTGGGGCATTGACTGTCCAGTGTATTTCCAATCTAAAAAATGTCTGTAACCTCATTGAAACCCTAGACCATACACTCCCACATATGTCAAACATGACCAGAGTATTGTCTATGTGGCTTTATATGGAGCTGCATCACCATTTTAGACTATGCACAGCGTACAGACAATGATGTAATGTACAATGGGATGCTCATGAAACAGTGACAGGTAACTAAGGGTGGGTATTGCACAGAATTTTCATACTGCAATATATTGCGATGCGAAAGCATGTATTGCGATATGTATTGCAATATATTGCCTGAAGTATTTTTAAACAAAAAACTACTTATAAGCGAGTTAATGCTTGATTTATAGAGCAAAACCACAACAAAATCACTATGCTTGATTAAGTTTTAATAACAACTTTTAATCATGATAAAATAAAAATGTGAAGAATATTTGGCACAAATGAAACAAGGAAATAACCGAAGATTTCCGAGTGTTATGAAGTCAAAATACCGGTTTTCAACCAGCATATCGCAATGCGTATCGTTTTCATGTCTGAACCGGTAAATTGCGCAGCCCTACAGGTAACTGCACTAAAACATTTTAAAATTGTCACAAGCAAATGGCATTACTTACCTCTCTGCCCTTCACGGCTACTATCTCTACTTCTTCCCCTCCAGGACCCGTGAAGATCCGGGGTAGAATAGGTCTTCAGCAACCCATGCTTGCCACAAAAGGCAACTATGTTTGTCGTAAGAGGCAACTAACGGGATCGGGTGGTCAGGCTCACTGACTTGGTTGACACATGTCATTGGTTCCCAGTTGCGCAGATCGATGCTCATGCTGTTGATCACTGGATTGTCTGGTCCAGACTCGATTATTTACAGACCGCCGCCATTTAGCTGGAATATTGCTGAGTGCTCACTCACTCACTCTTCCCCTCCAGACACAGGTTATTGGTAGTTACACACTGAATATGTCTGGAGTGTGATTCTGGTTGATAAACATGATGAGTTCTATACTTTATTGACTAATGATGATATATTGGATATCAGAGTGAGTGAGTTTAGTTTAACGCCGCACTCAGCAATATTCCAGCAATATGGCAGATATCTGATATCAGTAGGGAGAGAGGGAGTCAATGAGCTGGATTTTATGCAGCAATATCACGGCAGGGGACACCAGAATGGGCTTAACACATTGTACCTATGTAGGGAATCAAGCCCTGGCCTTCAGTGTGATAAGCGAACACTTGAACTACTAGACTACCCTACTGTCCCTGATGAGATTCCATATGAGATTCCATATTCACTCACTCACTCACTCATTCACACTCACACTCACTCACTCATTCACACTCACACTCACTCACTCATTCACACTCTCACTCACTCACTCATTCACACTCACACACTCACTCTCACTCACTCTCACTCACTCTCACTCACTCACTCACTCACTCACTCACTCACTCACACTCACTCACTCATGCTTACACCAGATACTCTCCTGAAACACTTGTTCTCAGCTGACACACTATGATATATAACCTGAATAACTTATACACTCTTCAAAGTTGATATACCTGTCAACTTTCAGTAGTATTTTGCCGAGGTAATCAGTATTATTGATGAAGTGTCAACATTTAAAGAGTGTTCAGCCCACAAAGAATACCAGCAGCTGTGTTCATTACAAACACTGTAAAGTCCTCAAACCAGCTCACCGATGCATTAAAGCATAGAAATTACATGTTGTGATAATATCCTTTTTATGGCTCTCCGCTTTCGGATGTGGGAGCCGTGCGAATTTACACATGTCAGCAGATGGGTACACAAACTCTGTGATCTAGACTACAAGTTGTCCAACTTCCATATTTATGGAAGCCGTGGTGGCTGCGCGGGTTAGGCGTCTGACTTTGTGTGGTGGCAATTAGGTGCCTGACTCTGAGGTTGTGGGTTTGAATCCCGGATGGGACACAACCCAAAAGGTACTAGAACTTTACTAAAAAAAGTGTAATCCCAAATATAACATATATTACAATATCGTTTTTGTATACATGCTGACTTTTAACAGCTCGTCCAGAGTAATGTTCCCAAAACTAAAGTATGCAGAGAGTTTTTCAGATTTCTTTATTGGTTTCATGCCACTACCAACTAATCGAGCTCCATGACAAAAACCTGTAAACATTTTAATCTGGACCAGAAAATCTCGTGATTTTTGTGAACAATCATCCAGATGGTCAGGGTACGATAAGATGCAACCAACCGCCACCCAATCCATTTGGTCAACTCCGTGAACCAGAATATGTTGCAAAAGATCTATTCTGACATGGAATTGTCACAGCGTGTTGTCAGAATAATGAATTGTTGGGTTGTTATTCAGAGAATGCAAAAAGAACACCTTGAAAGTGACAAGTGACCCCTTAAACATCCTGACAGAACAAGTGTAACCCTTATATTATGGACCGCCTCCGTGGTGTAGTGGTTAGAGCGTCCGCCCGGAGAGCGGAAGGTCGCGGGTTCGATCCCCGACCGCGTCATACCAAAAGACGTTAAAATATGGTACTTGTTGGTCCCTGCCTGGCGTTCGGCATTAATGGGTACAACAAGGACTGGTCGGCTCGGAGTCAGTATAATGTGTCTGAGTGGGGTATTTATGCTTCACTGCATCATGGTATCTCAGTGGGCTAGCACTATAAAACCAGCTTAAGTCTGGGCTAGTACAAGCAGCCGCACATACACATACACACGCATGCACGTCGTCATATGAGCAAAATTTTCTCAAGCATGAAGTTAAACCCAATTTCACCTCACCTCACCTCACCTTATATTATGAAAGATAAATTTGAGTTGGATATCCAATATTTTACTTCTGAAGTATATTTAAAATTGGTTCATGCGGTACCATATACACTGGTATTTTGATATCTGGATGAATTCTGGCAGAAACTGGCACTGGACATTACAAGTCTTTGCACTTCACACATGAATAGGATTCAGATTCATGGTGTGATATACTTTCATGATTATTTAGTCAATAATTTCCTTCAGGAACAGTCATCGATATGTTTGCCTCCTTGGTCCGAGGTTTCCATCAAACAAGCCAAACAAGCAAGTCAAACATTGTCTCAGCTCGTAATGATGTGGAGGTTCTTGGGATAACCTGTAGAGCCTGGCTGTGATTGCCAGTGCTATCTATAACATTGTCATTGATTTTATTAATGCTATTCATTGGAAAGGCTCACAGAAACAGAAGGAAGTGCATTCTTGTGCTACAATAGCCCTCTCATTTGAAAGTCAGGTAGTTCTCTGAGACAAAGGTTTATACTGCAATGTCATTATGTGGGTGTGTGTTCGATATGTTATATTTGTAGGAATGTGTGGTTGGATCCTTACGTCATTTATTGTAACCGATAGAACATTAACTTCTCGAGGTGAAGATCTCGGAGCTTAAAGTGTTTGTATCTTTGTCCTGTCTTCAGGCATTGGGTTTTTACTGTCCTGTGTGTTTATCACTAAAGTTGATCAGTGTTATTTATACTGCTTATCCTTCATCAAACTTTCTGGCACTCACCCACTCAAAAACTCACTCAAAATATCACTCACTCACTCACCCACTCAAAAACTCACTCAAAATATTACTCACTCACTCACCCACTCAAAAACTCACTCAAAATATCACTCACTCAAAACTCACTCAAAACTCACTCACCCAATTTTGTGATCCCATCTACAATACATTGACACTTTTACTAGTTTTTCTTTTGAATTTTTAAAAGGCTTTTGAAGACAAATGTCAAATCTGAAAAAAGGCAATTAGCAAACACATATGCAAGCTGATAGGTCGACTGAATTCAAGTCTTTCTGAGAGCATGAAGACACAAAACATCAGATCTTTTATTCCAGCTCATTACCTCTCTACGTGAACACTGACATCAGAGAACCACAGTCAGAGCATTACAGAACCACAGTCAGAGCATCACAGAACCACAGTCAGAGCATCACAGAACCACAGTCAAAGCATCACAGAACCACAGTCAGATCATCACAGAACCACAGTCAGAGCATCACAGAACCACAGTCAGAGCATCACAGAACCACAGTCAGAGCATCACAGAACCACAGTCAGATCATCACAGAACCACAGTCAGAGCATCACAGAACCACGGTCAAAGCATCACAGAACCACAGTCATCACAGAACCACAGTCAAAGCATCACAGAACCACAGTCAGAGCATCACAGAACCACAGTCAGAGCATCACAGAACCACAGTCAAAGCATCACAGAACCACAGTCAGAGCATCACAGAACCACAGTCAAAGCATCACAGAACCACAGTCAGATCATCACAGAACCACAGTCAGAGCATCACAGAACCACAGTCAAAGCATCACAGAACCACAGTCAGAGCATCACAGAACCACAGTCAGAGCATCACAGAACCACAGTCAGAGCATCACAGAACCACAGTCAGAGCATCACAGAACCACAGTCAAAGCATCACAGAACCACAGTCACAGCATCACAGAACCACAGTCAGAGCATCACAGAACCACAGTCAGAGCATCACAGAACCACAGTCAGAGCATCACAGAACCACAGTCAAAGCATCACAGAACCACAGTCAGAGCATCACAGAACCACAGTCAGAGCATCACAGAACCACGGTCAGAGCATCACAGAACCACAGTCAAAGCATCCTGGGAGAACCACAGTCAAAGCATCACAGAACCACAGTCAGAGCATCACAGAACCACAGTCAGAGCATCACAGAACCACAGTCAGAGCATCACAGAACCACAGTCAGAGCATCACAGAACCACAGTCAGAGCATCACAGAACCACAGTCCAAGCATCACAGAACCACAGTCAAAGCATCACAGAACCACAGTCAGAGCATCACAGAACCACAGTCAGAGCATCACAGAACACAGTCAGAGCATCACAGAACCACAGTCAGAGCATCACAGAACCACAGTCAGAGCATCACAGAACCACAGTCAGAGCATCACAGAACCACAGTCAGAGCATCACAGAACCACAGTCAGAGCATCACAGAACCACAGTCAGAGCATCACAGAACCACAGTCAGAGCATCACAGAACAACAGTCAAAGCATCACAGAACCACAGTCAGAGCATCACAGAACCACAGTCAGAGCATCACAGAACCACAGTCAAAGCATCACAGAACCACAGTCAAAGCATCCCACAGAACCACAGTCAAAGCATCACAGAACCACAGTCAAAGCATCACAGAACCACAGTCAAAGCATCACAGAACCACAGTAAGAGCATCACAGAACCACGGTCAAAGCATCACAGAACAACAGTCAGAGCATCACAGAACCGCAGGCAGAACATCACAGAACCACAGTCAGAGCATCACAGAACCACAGTCAGAGCATCACAGAACCACAGTCAGAGCATCACAGAACAACAATCAGAGCATCCTGGAGAACCACAGTCAGAGCATCACAGAACCACAGTCAGAGCATCACAGAACCACAGTCAAAGCATCACAGAACCACAGTCAGAGCATCACAGAACCACAGTCAGAGCATCACAGAACCACAGTCAGAGCATCACAGAACCACAGTCAGAGCATCACAGAACCACAGTCAAAGCATCACAGAACCACAGTCAGATCATCACAGAACCACAGTCAAAGCATCACAGAAGTCCACAGTCAAAGCATCCCACAGAACCACAGTCAGATCATCACAGAACCACAGTCAGAGCATCACAGAACCACAGTCAGAGCATCACAGAACCACAGTCAGAGCATCACAGAACCACAGTCAGAGCATCACAGAACCACAGTCAGAGCATCACAGAACCACAGTCAGAGCATCACAGAACCACAGTCAAAGCATCCAGAAGCACAGTCAAAGCATCACAGAACCACAGTCAGGCGTCCACAGAACCACGGTCAGAACATCCACAGAACCACAGTCAGAGCATCACAGAACCGCAGTCAAAGCATCACAGAACCACAGTCAGAGCATCACAGAACCACAATCAAAGCATCACAGAACCACAGTCAGAGCATCACAGAACCACAGTCAGAGCGTCACAGAACCACAGTCAGAGCATCACAGAACCACAGTCAGATCATCACAGAACCACAGTCAGAGCATCACAGAACCACAGTCAAAGCATCACAGAACCGCAGTCAAAGCATCACAGAACCACAGTCAGATCATCACAGAACCACAGTCAGAGCGTCACAGAACCACAGTCAGAGCATCACAGAACCAGTCAGAGCATCACAGAACCACAGTCAAAGCATCACAGAACAGCAGTCAAAGCATCACAGGGAACACAGTCAGCAGCAGAATCACACAGAACCACAGTCAAAGCATCACAGAGAACCGCCAGTCAAAGCATCACAGAACCACGGTCAAAGCATCACCAGAACCGCCAGTCAAAGCATCCCACAGAACCACAGTCAAAGCATCACAGAACCACAGTCAGATCATCACAGAACCACAGTCAGAGCATCACAGAACCACAGTCAAAGCATCACAGAACCACAGTCAAAGCATCACAGAACCACAGTCAGATCATCACAGAACCACAGTCAGAGCATCACAGAACCACAGTCAGAGCATCACAGAACCACAGTCAAAGCATCACAGAACCGCAGTCAAAGCATCACAGAACCACAGTCAGATCATCACAGAACCACAGTCAGAACATCACAGAACCACAGTAAGAGCATCACAGAACCACGGTCAAAGCATCACAGAACCACAGTCAGAACATCACAGAACCACAGTCCAGGCGTCCTGGAACCACAGTCAGGCGTCACAGAACCACAGTCAGAACATCACAGAACCACAGTCAGAACATCACAGAACCACAGTCAGAGCGTCACAGAACCACAGTCAGAACATCACAGAACCACAGTCAGAGCATCACAGAACCACAGTCAGAGCATCACAGAACCACAGTCAGAGCATCACAGAACCACAGTCAGAGCATCAGAACCACAGTCAGAGCATCACAGAACCACAGTCAGAGCATCACAGAACCACAGTCAGAGCATCACAGAACCACAGTCAGAGCATCACAGAACCACAGTCAGAGCATCACAGAACCACAGTCAGAGCATTCAGAACCAGTCAGAGCTACAGATAATTTTTGGGGTCATTGAGTTATGTGTGCGCTTGTGTTCATCTCAAATGGGTATCCTAATTTTCCTTTGAGTAACCAAATAAATTGGACCCACCTCACTCAAACTCAATTGGATATTTTGCCATTTTCCATTAATTGTGAAAACATAATAAAGTTTAAATGTTGGTTTACGTGTTTGTTGTATATATTTGATCAGTAAAATGCAGAAACGATAAGAATGACTGCAAGTTGCCAAGTACATGTGCTGAAATAGAACCTCTCAATATACTTCAGCTATCCTCAATAACCTCCAAGCTAAGATTTGACATTTTTGTGTGTACGTATGTAAACCCAAATTTATTGAGTATGTACAAAAATTCAAGCATACTTGTACACAGCAGACATAATAGGTATTGGGTTTTCACATAAATAATTTATGCACATATGCAGCTTATCTGTACCTCTGCACAGTGTCGTTAAACTATCAAACGATTGATACCTGTGTCAAGATTTGAGGACACGTCCATAGAAGGTCAAGTCAGCCAATCAGCAGTGATTCTTCTGAAGTCATTTACACCTGGGTGTTGTATTTCTGTATCATAAGATACATAATATCATAGTATCATACATAATATCATAAATAAAATCATAAGATACATAATATCATACATAATATCTATCAAATCTTCATATGTAAATGACCTGAGGTAATCAGTGTTGTATTTTTGCAGGTATTCTGACATTTGTGAACATGGCCAGTGTGAAGGCTGCCACGCGGATCCAGGACCTGTTCACAATAGCCAAGCTTCTCGCCTTAATCACCATCACCATCGCTGGCATCGTAATGATAAGCCTAGGTGGGTACAACGATATAAAAATATTCTGACACTGTCATCGTGATGGGTCCGTATAGTCTGGTGCCCAATCATCATTGCTGGCATCGTAATGATAAGCCTAGGTGCGTACAACGATATGAAAATATTCTGACACTGTCATCATTTTGGTCTGCCTAGTCTGGTTGGTACTAAAATAGATCAGTGATTGGTCATTTCAACCTGCAAGATGGTGACTCCTGCTTAGTGTAGACCAGCAGTTGAACATGTTTTTCCCAATCCAAGCTACATTCATATCTATTCAACAAAGCCCTCAACATTGTCGTATAGGGGGTTTTGAGATTTGTTCATACTGTAAAGATTCATGTGACTGGATTCTAGCCTTATACATTTTCGAATTTGCATGTATGTGTATGCCTTCATCATGGAGTAACACACAGGGAGTATCATTGTTTTGTCATCAAATAAATGGAGTTTGCCTACCTATTGAAATTTGAGATGAAATTCTCTTATTCATCAGCAAATGCGAAGACTTAGAAACTGATTTGGGACAGGTCAGTGGACAACATTGTTGTGAAGGTTCAAGTTGTACTTTAGTCGCATTATGTTGTATCGTAATGGGGAAAAACATATTGTATATATTTAAAGTTCACAATACATGGCAGTCTGGTGTTTAACTTGTACACAGAAGGCCCTGATGAACATGATGAAAGAACTTTAATCTCAGTCATCAAACTATCTCCCATTGGAGATGTGGATTAGAATTAGTCTTCAGCAACCCAGGCTTGTCTGCCTCAGTGAAGATCTGGGTTCAGATTGGTCTTCAGCAACCCATGCTTGTCTGCCTCAGTGAAGATCTGGGTTAAATTGGTCTTCAGCAACCCATGCTTGTCTGCCTCAGTGAAGATCTGAGATAAGATTGGTCTTCAGCAACCCATGCTTGTCTGCCTCAGTGAAGATCTGAGTTAAGATTGGTCTTCAGCAACCCAGGCTTGTCTGCCGCAGTGAAGATCTGAGTTAAGATTGGTCTTCAGCAACCCAGGCTTGTCTGCCTCAGTGAAGATCTGAGTTAAGATTGGTCTTCAGCAACCCAGGCTTGTCTGCCTCAGTGAAGATCTGAGTTAAGATTGGTCTTCAGCAACCCAGGCTTGTCTGCCGCAGTGAAGATCTGAGTTAAGATTGGCCTTTAGCAACCCAGGCTTGTCTGCCTCAGTGAAGATCTGGGTTAAGATTGGTCTTCAGCAACCCATGCTTGTCTGCCTCAGTGAAGATCTGGGTTAAATTGGTCTTCAGCAACCCATGCTTGTCTGCCTCAGTGAAGATCTGAGATAAGATTGGTCTTCAGCAACCCATGCTTGTCTGCCTCAGTGAAGATCTGAGTTAAGATTGGTCTTCAGCAACCCAGGCTTGTCTGCCTCAGTGAAGATCTGGGTTCAGATTGGTCTTCAGCAACCCATGCTTGTCTGCCTCAGTGAAGATCTGGGTTAAGATTGGCCTTTAGCAACCCATGCTTGTCTGCCTCAGTGAAGATCTGGGTTCAGATTGGTCTTCAGCAACCCATGCTTGTCTGCCTCAGTGAAGATCTGGGTTAAATTGGTCTTCAGCAACCCATGCTTGTCTGCCTCAGTGAAGATCTGAGATAAGATTGGTCTTCAGCAACCCATGCTTGTCTGCCTCAGTGAAGATCTGAGTTAAGATTGGTCTTCAGCAACCCAGGCTTGTCTGCCGCAGTGAAGATCTGAGTTAAGATTGGTCTTCAGAAACCCAGGCTTGTCTGCCTCAGTGAAGATCTGAGTTAAGATTGGTCTTCAGCAACCCAGGCTTGTCTGCGCCCAGTGAAGATCTGAGTTAAGATTGGTCTTCAGCAACCCAGGCTTGTCTGCGCAGTGAAGATCTGAGTTAAGATTGGCCTTTAGCAACCCAGGCTTGTCTGCCTCAGTGAAGATCTGGGTTAAGATTGTCTTCAGCAACCCATGCTTGTCTGCCTCAGTGAAGATCTGGGTTAAAATTGGTCTTCAGCAACCCATGCTTGTCTGCCTCAGTGAAGATCTGAGATAAGATTGGTCTTCAGCAACCCATGCTTGTCTGCCTCAGTGAAGATCTGAGTTAAGATTGGTCTTCAGCAACCCAGGCTTGTCTGCCGCAGTGAAGATCTGAGTTAAGATTGGTCTTCAGAAACCCAGGCTTGTCTGCCTCAGTGAAGATCTGAGTTAAGATTGGTCTTCAGCAACCCAGGCTTGTCTGCCGCAGTGAAGATCTGAGTTAAGATTGGTCTTCAGCAACCCAGGCTTGTCTGCCGCAGTGAAGATCTGAGTTAAGATTGGCCTTTAGCAACCCAGGCTTGTCTGCCTCAGTGAAGATCTGGGTTAAGATTGGTCTTCAGCAACCCATGCTTGTCTGCCTCAGTGAAGATCTGGGTTAAAATTGGTCTTCAGCAACCCATGCTTGTCTGCCTCAGTGAAGATCTGAGATAAGATTGGTCTTCAGCAACCCATGCTTGTCTGCCTCAGTGAAGATCTGAGTTAAGATTGGTCTTCAGCAACCCAGGCTTGTCTGCCGCAGTGAAGATCTGAGTTAAGATTGGTCTTCAGAAACCCAGGCTTGTCTGCCTCAGTGAAGATCTGAGTTAAGATTGGCCTTTAGCAACGCAGGCTTGTCTGCCTCAGTGAAGATCTGGGTTAAGATTGGTCTTCAGCAACCCATGCTTGTCTGCCGCAGTGAAGATCTGGGTTAAGATTGGTCTTCAGAAACCCAGGCTTGTCTGCCTCAGTGAAGATCTGGGTTAAGATTGGTCTTCAGAAACCCAGGCTTGTCTGCCTCAGTGAAGATCTGAGTTAAGATTGGCCTTTAGCAACCCAGGCTTGTCTGCCTCAGTGAAGATCTGGGTTAAGATTGGTCTTAAGCAACCCATCCTTGTCTGCCTCAGTGAAGATCTGGGTTCAGATTGGTCTTCAGCAACCCAGGCTTGTCTGCCTCAGTGAAGATCTGGGTTAAGATTGGTTTTCAGCAACCCATGCTTGTCTGCCTCATTGAAGATCTGGGTTAAGATTGGTCTTCAGCAACCCAGGCTTGTCTGCCTCAGTGAAGATCTGGGTTCAGATTGGTCTTCAGCAACCCATACTTATCTGCCTCAGTGAAGATCTGGGTTCAGATTGGTCTTCAGCAACCCAGGCTTGTCTGCCTCAGTGAAGATCTGGGTTATGATTGGTCTTCAGCAACCCAGGCTTGTCTGCCTCAGTGAAGATCTGGGTTAAGATTATTGGTCTTTAGCAACCCAGGCTTGTCTGTCTCAGTGAAGATCTGAGTTAAGATTGGCCTTAAGCAACCAATGCTTGTCTGCCTCAGTGAAGATCTGAGTTAAGATTGGCCTTAAGCAACCCAGGCTTGTTTGCCTCAGTGAAGATCTTAGTTAAGATTTGCCTTAAGCAACCAATGCTTGTCTGCCTCAGTGAAGATCTGAGTTAAGATTGGCCTTAAGCAACCAATGCTTGTCTGCCTCAGTGAAGATCTGAGCTAAGATTTGCCTTAAGCAACCCATGCTTGTCTGCCTCAGTGAAGATCTGAGTTAAGATTGGCCTTAAGCAACCCAGGCTTGTCTGCCTCGGTGAAGATCTGAGTTAAGATTTGCCTTAAGCAACCAATGCTTGTCTGCCTCAGTGAAGATCTGAGCTAAGATTGGCCTTAAGCAACCAATGCTTGTCTGCCTCAGTGAAGATCTGGGTTAAGATTGGCCTTAAGCAACCAATGCTTGTCTGCCTCAGTGAAGATCTGAGTTAAGATTGGCCTTAAGCAACCAATGCTTGTCTGCCTCAGTGAAGATCTGAGTTAAGATTTGCCTTAAGCAACCCATGCTTGTCTGCCTCAGTGAAGATCTGAGTTAAGATTGGCCTTAAGCAGCCCATGCTTGTCTGCCTCAGTGAAGATCTGAGTTAAGATTGGCCTTAAGCAACCCATGCTTGTCTGCCTCAGTGAAGATCTGAGTTAAGATTGGCCTTAAGCAACCCATGCTTGTCTGCCTCAGTGAAGATCTGAGTTAAGATTCTTAAGCAACCCATGCTTGTCTGCCTCAGTGAAGAGAGTTAAGATTGGCCTTCAGCAACCCAGGCTTGTCTGCCTCAGTGAAGATCTGAGTTAAGATTGTGCCAGCAACCCATGCTTGTCTGCCTCAGTGAAGATCTGGGTTCAGATTGGTTCAGCAACCCATGCTTGTCTGCCTCAGTGAAGATCTTAAGATTGGTCTTCAGCAACCCATGCTTGTCTGCCTCAGTGAAGATCTGGGTTCAGATTTGCCTTCAGCAACCCAGGCTTGTCTGCCTCAGTGAAGATCTGAGTTAAGATTGGCCTTAAGCAGCCCATGCTTGTCTGCCTCAGTGAAGATCTGCCTGGTTCTCAGTGAAGATCTGAGTTCAGATTGGCCTTAAGCAACCCAGGCTTGTCTGCCTCAGTGAAGATCTGAGTTAAGATTGGCCTTAAGCAACCAATGCTTGTCTGCCTCAGTGAAGATCTGAGTTAAGATTGGCCTTAAGCAGCCCATGCTTGTCTGCCTCAGTGAAGATCTGAGTTAAGATTGGCCTTAAGCAACCAATGCTTGTCTGCCTCAGTGAAGATCTGAGTTAAGATTGGCCTTAAGCAACCCATGCTTGTCTGCCTCAGTGAAGATCTGGGTTAAGATTGGCCTTAAGGATCCCAGGCTTGTTTGCCTCAGTAAAGATCTGAGTTAAGATTGCCCTTAAGCAGCCCATGCTAACATGAGGCAACTAGCGGGATCAATTACAGATGCTTACTGACTTGTTTGAAGTGTGTCACCATATCCCAATCATTGGTGGATCCAGAGGTTCAAGGGGTTCGGGACACACACACACACACCACCACCCCACCCCCACCCCTTTGACACAACAACACCCCCCACCCCCCGTCAAAATTCCTGGATCCGCCGATGCCAATGGGGTTGATACTCATGGTGTAAAAGTGGGCAGTGGTTGAAGTGTTCTCTGATCACGCCAAAAAGAGATCGATTAAACACATGGGTACCATGAGTGAAGCCCATTTCTGGCGTCCCCTACCGTGATATTGCTGGAATATTGCCAAAAGCGGTGTAAAACCAAACTCATTCACTCACTCAAGATGTAAATAAATCACTGAATTGTCTGGTCCCTGCATCCATCATTTACAGACTGTCATCATACTGCTGATTGCAGTGTTTAGAACAAATAAAGTATCGACCAAGTTATTAAAAACACAGTACATTTACTGTTTTATTACAGGTGAAACGGAGCACCTGGACACAGGCTTTGAAGGGTCATCTGGCAGCGTGGGAGATATATCATTAGCTTTCTACTCCGGTCTCTTTGCTTATGCTGGATGGTGAGTCTCTGTCAGAGAGATATTTGCTAATTGTGTTTTGATTCATTTATATATGTACAACTTTCTTAGTCAAGAAATGGCTGAAATACTGCCGATGTGATTTTAAATTTTAAATCACTCACTCACTCTTTCAGAGAGAGAAGAATTAGGGTTTGAGTCAGCCATTCTTGACAGCTTTGAAGAGTATTTCAGCTGCAGGATTTAAACATTAGCTCTTGGTTTTGCACTTTAAACGGAAACTGTCATATTATAGCTTGATGAATGTCTAACTTACAGAGCAGCTGAAACCCTTTCTACAGGATGCGCTTTTTGGGGGGTCATGAAAATTTTGCTTATCTGCAGTAATATATACAGTAACCAATTTTGATGACAGTGAGTGAGAGAAAGACTGTATGGAGTATGCAGACACCTGAAGTCGCCACTTGTTAGATAGAAAACCCTTTTGTCACCTGTCCAGCTGGCGCTGTGACTAAACAGTGGTTTTAGTACTGATCATGGTGTTTGAGGTAGCAGGGTGGATTCCCATCCTGTTTCAGACCATTGAACTGTGAATGCAGGTTTTTTTTTCCAATTCTAATGTTAAACCCTTCAGCAGCTCTCACTTGAATGTAGGGTCAGTGGGATAGCCTAGTGGTTAAAGCATTCGCCAGTCACGCCGAAGACCCAGGTTCAATTGCCCACAAATAGTTCAATGTGTGGAGCCCATTTCTGGTGTCACCCTGCTGTGATATTAATGGAATATTGCTGAAAGCAGCTTAAAAATAAACTCACTCACTCTCACTCTCGGGGCGGTGGGGTAGCCTAGTGGTTAAAGCGTTCGCTCGTCACGCCGAAGACCCGGGTTCGATTCCCCACATGGGTACAACTTGTGAAGCCCATTTCTGGTGTCCCCGGCCGTGATATTGCTGGAATATTGCTAAAAACAGCGTAAAACAAAACTCAGCCAGCCAGCACTCTCGCTCTCACTCACTCACTTTCACAAGGTTGTTGTGATATAGCTACATACCTACAATGCTAAAAGATAGGCAGTAGTTTATAAGAATGGTTATCATATTGATGAATGCTTTGTTTTTCTTCCACAGGAATTTTCTCAACTTTGTAACAGAAGAAATGATAGATCCTTTTAAGTGAGTACTTCTTTTGTTTTGCTGGAATATAGATCTCATATATATGGGATATACTATAAGTTGTTCACTGGTCACCAGGGGGGCATGGGTTGATGTACCCTCTATGTTTGTTTATTATTATCATTATTATAAATGAACCAATCGAAACATTTTCCTTGCAGGTTAAAGGATACTGGTTATGTTGTAAACAGTAATACTATTGTTGAAATGTTTCTATTTGACTGGGGGGTGGGGTAGTCTAGTGGTTAAAGCGTTGGCTCGTCACGCCGAAGACACGCCGAAGACCCGGGTTCGAATCCCTACATGGGTACAATGAGTGAAGCCCATTTCTGGTGTCCCCCGCCGTGATATTGCTGGAATATTGCTAAAAGCGGCGTAAAACCAAACTCAGTCAGTCAGTCAGTTCTATTTGACTGTTTTAAATGTTTAAGGGAGTGTTGTTGTGCAGTGGTTGTTTCTATGTTATTCAATCTTATTCCTTGCTTCAGAAACCTGCCGCGGGCTATCTACATCTCCATCCCCATAGTAACGGTGGTCTATGTGATGGCCAACGTGGCATACTTCGCAGTCATTTCACCGGCAGATATCTTAGCGTCAAATGCTGTTGCCGTGGTGAGTAGATTGTACGAAATTGAAATGTTCTTTCTAAGTCCACTTCTTTTCTGAATCTACTTTGATTGGTATGTTTGGTATGTTTGTTGTTTAGCATTGCCCTTAGGAAGTTCCAGATAGCAGACTGAAGTAATTCATTCTTGGTCAGGCATTCCGTGAAGGTCCAGGTTAGAATTGGTCTTCAACAACCCATGCTTGTCATAAGAGGCGACTAATGGGATCGAATGGTCAGGCTCACTGACTTGGTTGACACACGTCATCGTATCCCACTTGCGTAGATCGATGCTCATGCTGTTGATCACTGGATTGTCTGGTCCAAACTTGATTACTTACAGACCGCGGACACATATAGCTGGAATATTGCTGGATGCTTTGTTAAACAATGGGCAAAACAAAAAATCTTTGCTATTCATGCATTAATGTTTCTTAGTAAAAACAACCGGTCATACCAGGAAAACGTGGTTGACCTCCTCTAGTTACAGGAGGAAGCAGTGTGGGGTGGTAACCTAGTTTTTAAAGTATATCCTCGTCACCCACGGGTTCAATTACCCACATAGGTACAAAGTGTGAAGACCATTTCTGGTGTCCATCGTCATAATATCGCTGGATTATTGCTAAAAGTGGCATAAAACCTGACCCACCCACTCATAACATGAGTGAATGAGTGAGTGAGTATGGTTTTATGCTGCTTTTAGCAATATTTCAGCAATACCACGTCGGGGGACACCTGAAATGGGCTTCACACATCTTACACGTAAGGGGAATCGACCCAGGACTTCGGCGTGACGGGCTAACGCTTTAACCACTAGGCTGAATTTTCGATTTTCCACATGCTGGTATCATCGTGATGATAAGGATGATAAGGACTGATAAATATCATCATCACTGGTATCGGTGTTATGATCTTTGCCTGAATTTGTCAAATCCAATTCTAAATGACTACAAGCTGATGTTAATCAAATCTCCAGAATCAGACTGACTGACTGACTGAGTTTGGTTTTACGCCGCTTTTAGCAATATTCCAGCAACATCACGGCGGGGGACACCAGAAATGGGCTTCACACATTGTACCCATGTGGGGATTCGAACCCGGGTCTTCGGCGTGACGGGCCAACGCTTTAACCATTAGGCTACCCCACCGCCCCTCCATAATCAGAAACACTGTCTGAATGGTCTGAGTTGTGAATATCAAGAAGTGGTTGACCTAGTGCTAGTATTCAGATGAAAGGATACAATTGTACTGGTCTATCACAGCTGGTATGTGTATTCATGAATCACAATGAAACAAAGAGTCAAGCTTATTTTGGCGCATTCATGTATGAGAGAAGAAATATGATACTTGGTATGAACAGATCATGTTATCAAAATGTATGAAGTGTTTGAAATTGAAAAGTAATATCTTGTCCTAGTGACATTAAACCCTTGATGTCAGAAAGCCCTAGATTCCTCTGTGAGGAACTAGATCAATGGGTCATGTACTTGAAATGTAAGCCTTGGACCTAGAGGATGGATCAGATGGTATAAAACACGACACCTGTTATTGTGAACAAAATACTGCAGATGCTGTGTTCTTCCATCACAGAATGTCATGCTTGTTGTGAAACTTGTTGCTTCATTGATGGGCATTATCACTTGCTTGACAGCGACATTAGAATCTATGTCGAAGCGTCACTTTCACAGAATAAAGAAGTTATATACTAGTATCCATAAAACTATCATCATTCTTTGTCAAGTGCTGCCTGTGCACTAACATCACAGAATAGATTTCATGAATCCCATGTTTGTCATGTCAAAGGTCATTAAAACATGGTACTTGTTTGTTCTCTGCCTGGCATTCTACACCGAGAGTATAAAACAAGGATATGCAGCTAGGGTAAGGTGTCTGAGTGGGGTATTATGGTATCTCAGTGAACCAGCACTGTCAGTCGAGACTGGTATAAACGCCAACACACACATGCACGCACATCACTATATGGGTGCGGGCGGTGGGTTAGCCAAGTGGTTAAAGCGTTTGCTTGTCACGCCGAAGACCCGGGTTCGAATTCCTGACATGGGTACAATGTGTGAAGCCCATTTCTGGAGTTCCCCGCCTTGATATTGCTGGAATATTGTTAAAAGCGGCGTAAAACTAAACTCATTCATTCATTCTATGTGAGTGCAAAACCATGGAGTTAACATTAAGCCTCACCTCACCTCACTATGTTTAATGCAGTGTTTTGTGTTTTCCAGACATTTGGAGATCGCCTGTTTGGTGTCATGTCCTGGATAATGCCAGTGTTTGTGGCACTCTCCACATTTGGAGGAGTGAATGGACTTCTCTTCACCTCAGGAAGGTAGGAAAGCATCACATAACCTTTGAACTTTAGTGAGTGAGTGCGTTACGATTTTGTGGTTCATGAGTGGACAACAGTGAACAACGTAAGTAGACTAAGGTTACCTTGTGGTTACTATGGTAACTGCTCAACAAACTTAGAAAAATAGGAGCAAACACAGAATTTAGGAATGCCAGACTTTCAGCAGTTGTAATGGAATAGTCTTGTGGTAGTAGTAAAATGATCTTTGATACATAATGTTCCACTGCTGCGTGTGACCCAGTGCACATTACTTTGATATTCTGTGTGTATTCATCTGTGATCCAGCTTGCAATTCCATGCTTGAGCAAACCTTCCACCCCTGTTGCATTAGTCATTACATGTTTAGATATGCTTACTTCAGCGGATCACTTTGGTTCTGTTTCCTAGAGTGTAAGTTTTGTGAATCATGTTCCCTGTAGTGTTGTTTCAAGACTATTGCTGGTTGAAACCATTTTCACTTAAACCATGTGATAAAACTGGAATATTGCTGAAAGATAATTTTATTTCGTTCACTTTTCAGTCTCTTGCAGATGTTAAGGTTGTTTTATATTTTTGTTTTTCAGAATGTTTTTTGTTGGGGCTCGTGAGGGGCATTTACCAGACTTCCTAGCTATGATCAACGTGAATCATTTCACACCACTACCTGCAATGTTTTTTACGGTAATTGTCATGCACATTGTCTTACCATTAAATCTATCACAAACCTTAGTGACTATGTATATTAACAGGCCTTCCAATGTGTCAGTCAGACACAGGTAGCACAGTCGACTAGGGTGCCAAAATTTGCTACATGGAGTTGTGTCCCTTGGGCACACAAGAAACTCTGGGTTTGAATCCCGGCATGTCTGATTAGGTTTCCAGGTTTGTCAGGACCATACCTTGTGGGTTTCACCAAGGTGATACACAACCAAGACCTGCATCTATCTGACAGGCTGGAATACTGTTCTAACTGGCTTTAAACCCACCTCACTCAGTATTTGCGGGGGATAGTTGGGTAGCCTAGTGGTTAAAGCGTTCACTCATCACACCGAAGGCACGGATTCGATTCCCCACATAGGTATAATGTGTGAAGCCATTTCTGGTGTCCCCCGCCATGATATTGCTGGAATATTGCTAAACACGGCTTAAAACCCAACTCACTCACTCACTCAGTATTTGTTAGTCCTTGGTACTCCAGATTTGGGAAGTTTTGTTTGTTTGTTGTTTAACGCTGCTCTCAACGATATTCCAGCTATGTGGCTGTGATCTGTAAATAATTGAGTCTGGACCACACAATCCAGTGATCAACAGCATGAGGATCGGTCACCTTGGGTAGTGACATCCCTTGCATTGATATTGGTGTAGGGTAGACTCTTTGTCCAGCCACAGATAGATATCAAGTATATGCAAATGATTGCCAAAAGTGATTGTTAATCCCTATGTAGTAGTGATTGTTGTCATGGTTACAATATTCCTTGTTAATCCCTGCTGTAGTAATGATTTTTGTCATGGTTACAGTATTTTTGTTAATCCCATTGTAATTATTATTGTTGTCATGGTTACAGTGTTCGTCATTCCTGATGTAGTAATGATTGTTGTCATGGTTACAGGGTGGCATGTCCATCTTGATGCTGGTGTCCAGTGATGTGTACGCCCTCATCAATTATCTCAGCTTCGTCCAGTGGCTGTCTGTTGGGGCATCCATCTTAGGGATGTTGTATCTCCGCAAAACTAAACCGAATCTGCCCAGACCTATTAAGGTGAGTGTTTGTGTACCTGTATCACCTGTAACAGCAGGAAGATGATACTGCCAGTGCCCCGTTTCTTGTGTTACCAGCTGCTGTGCTGGCCTCCGATAATTGTCCCTATCCCTACCTTTCAGCACAGAGTTATGGACTGATCACTTCAGGATGTCCATTCCGAGACTAACACGTGATCTCTGAATAAATATAGTTATGCTAATAACAACTAACTCCATTTGAAATGAAAAGGAGCCCCAGTTACCTTCGGACCTGAACCTGAGAAAAATCTAGACTTGCTTCATTTAGGGCCTTTGCATTACAGAAAGGGTTGGGCAGAAGGCATAGTAATGTGGTTCAGGGACTGTGAGACAGTACCCCCACCCTACCTCAAAATGTTTTGGTGACATTTTTCCAATCCACACGCCTCCTGCCCACCTACAACCAATTGCCAGTCCTGAAGAAATGTTCAAAATTATAAATCTTCTTTTTAAAAAAGGAACTGTGTAATTATTTAATTAACATTTAAATTCAGATTACATTATTACTAAAAGAGTCAACATGAACATGAAAATGGCCTACATTTCTGACAGTAAAAGGTCACAACCTCATGAGGATGCAATGGCAGATTGGGTACCACTGTGCCCTCTGCTTACTTTCATGTGAACACAAGTGACCTTGACTATGTGCGGCCTAAGGATTGGTGTTTAGAAGGAATGGAGTTTTATGGGTGTCAACGTCTTTACTATGACGAACACAACGTTTCGGAGTGTATCCTTACTCCTTCATCAGGTGAAGACCGCCTCCGTGGTGTAGTGGTTAGAGCGTCCGCCTGGAGAGCAGAAGGTCGCGGGTTCGATCCCCGACCGCGTCATACCAAAAGACGTTAAAATATGATACTTGTTGGTCCCTGCCTGGCGCTCGGCATTAATGGGTACAACAAGGACTGGTCGGCTCGGAGTCAGTATAATGTGTCTGAGTGGGGTATTCATGCTTCACTGCGGCATAGTATCTCAGTGGGCTAGCACTATAAAACCAGCTTAAGTCTGGGCTAGTACAAGCAGCCGCACATACACATACACACGCATGCACGTCATCATATGAGCAGAATATTCTCCAGCGCGACGTTAAACCCAATTTCACCTCACCTCTCTGCCTCATAGCAATCATTCACCTGATGAAGGAGTAAGGATTTCCTCTGAAATGTTGTGTTCTTCATAGTACAGAAGTTGACGTCCATAAAACTCTCTTCCTTCAGTGTATCACTTCTAAGGAGTAAGGATTATCTCTGAAATGTTGTGTTCTTCATAGTACAGAAGTTGACGTCCATAAAACTCTCTTCCTTCAGTGTATCACTTCTAATTGCCATTCAAAGACTTACTGTGTAACCTGAATAATGTCATACAGGTCCTGTGTGGCCTGTTGCCTGGGTCTCACTTGTCTATTTACAAACTGCCATAAGGCCAGACCAATTTTATTTCTTGTTTTACGTATTTTTGTTCTCAGAAAACCTGAAGGTAGGAGGGGGAAAATAAATCACCAGTCAATCACATTCTAAGTAATATTCCAATGCAAAAATTAGGACCTTTTATTTTTGGAGCGTGGAAAATTTATTTGTATTTTTTTCTTATTCTTGAAAAAATACAACCGGCGGATCCATAAACCAAGAAATAAAATTGGTCTGGCCTAATAGTAATTGTCGCTGTTGGTGGCATAAAATAACATCCATTCTGTAGCCAGTTGTGATTATTGCGTTTGTGTTTTTCGTTGATCATGTTATTATATATAGACATATATTATAGTCTGTCAATATATTGTCTTTCATTTTTCAGTTTCCCGTGTTTATTCCTGTTATATTTTTGGTGGCTGTCGTCTTCTTGCTGATCGTGCCGCTCTACGCGGCCCCTCGGGACACTGGGGATGGGAGTCCTAATTGTGTGTTCCGGAATTCCTGTATATATAATCGGCGTCAAGTGGAAGAGTAAACCCAAGTCTTTCAACACTTTTGTTCGTAAGTAGCACTTCATCTTGCAATTTATTTGTCAAAGAAACCGCTGCCATCACAATTTGACATTTGGACTATCTTCCCATGGGAGAGTTAACTGACTATGAAAGTCCAAGCTTTGCCGAACTAGGTTGGAATTTCAGGGCTCCTTAGACGACCGGCAATGCATGTACCGGTATATGAGTTATGTCCCTCTCATTGACCAATCAGGTTCCACCTCTCATATCACTTGCATTCAATCAAAATGGCGGTACCCAGTCAAGATGGTCTGATCAAATTGATCAAACAAGGTCTCTCTTTCCCTGCCTCACAGAAGCTCCATGTGTATGGGTTGTAGCAAAATGCTTGAGCACATCAATTTGAAATATGAACAGATGTGGAAAATATCTGTACACAATTTCTGCTCATTCTGTAGTCATCCAAAGTCTACATAGTTGTCGCTCAAATTCTGCTTGGTAGTTGCTCAAAATGTGCTTGGTAGTTGCTCAAACTGTGCTTGTAGTTGCTCAAAATGCGTTTGGTAGTTGCTCAAAATGTGCCCGTAGTTGCTCAATATATGCTTGGTAGTTGCTCAAAATGTGCTTGGTAGTTGCTCAAAATCATCTTGGTAGTTGCTCAAAATCTGCATGGTAGTTGCCACATTGTTTACAAACAGGATGTTGATTTAGTTACTTGATTTTGATTGGACTAAACAAAACATTTGGCCTGAGGTGGGTCTATGGGACCCGTAAACTGCCCGTAACTCAATTTCCGTGCAGTCACTGTGTGGCGGCAGGCGGCGGTTGTACAATCACCACACGATTCTACGGGCGCTGTAGCCTCTACGATTTTGTCACGAAGTGTGACAAATTTGAAAACATTGTAAACACGTAGGTGGCACTGCACGGCCACCACACGAATGCCGCTTGCTGATCGTGCGGTAATGCAGCCTCCGTGCAGTGCCCGTGAAATTGCACGGACATTGTGTGGTCATCCCACACATGATGGACCAATCATTTTTACCATGGGTATATATACATTAGCAATCCCTAGCAGTTCTATCATTTGTCTCAGTTCATGAGAAAGGTGTACATGATAAACCGATCTCCGTACGATTTCTGTGCAGCATCCATGCAGGTTTGTTTCGGCCTGTCCCCAAGGAAATCGCACTATGCCCGTAGACAATGTAAACACAAATGTCTTAGCCCACGGTCATCCACGATGCCTAAAAAATCTTGCAGAAAAATGTAGACCCATTTGTCGTATGGTGCCTGTGGCAAATGTTATCCAGGTCTTGGAGAAAGGGTCATCAGTGGCTCACTTGTGTAAGTTGTCACATTTGTGTGTAAAGTTGTGTCACTTGGACATTCCGTACCTAAACTCAGCTAGGCCCTGACCCAGTGATAGCTTGTATATATAACGATGGCCTGACCTCATGAACTATTTACTAATTTGGCTTTCCATATATTCCAAGCCCTTTTTTATCCAATTGTTTTATGACCCCTGCTTCTATAACTGACAAAAATACCTTGTCATTGTCAAAATAACAAACATCAGTGACTGAAACAGATTATTTCATCCCGAAAAAACGAACCGACACTATCAATTTGATGCCACTTAAAAAATTTAGTAGTGGGTTAGAGAAGAGTCATTTATAGCATGAGACGATAGCCCTGAGATGCTCTGTGAAGTACAAGAATATATTACCCACCAGGTGTTTGTCCTTGTGACACAAACAGTCCATAAATTCTTGTTCTTCTGGAGAATATAATACATTCTTGTACTTAACTGTATCTTAAGTCATAAATCATACCACAGAAAGAATTACTTACACAAAAAGAAATCAAGAAATGTGTTCAGTTTTACCGTGACCTTCAGCGATTTTGTTTCTCAGACCCCTTCACACTGTCATAGTTTCCATGATTTTATCAAGCCTTCCACCATGTGTTTGTGACCCCAAACATTTAAGGAGAATCCCAAGATGAATATCTGAGCCCTCCTTTGTGATGGAGTTGCTGGATGATGTGCCATACGAGGGGTGTCACGATTCGGTTCGGTTCAGCGAAAATCGAATCAATAGATGTACGATTCGATTTTGATTTCAAATGCATCCATTTCGATTCGATTCATAAAGTATCGTTTACTTTCTAATACTAAGAGTTTATTTCACCTGAAATCGTAAGAAATTATGTTGAAATTCGCTGCTATAAGTGTGGCCAGTGAGAGGGTATTCTCCACTGCCGGAGACATTGTAAGTGCCAAGAGGGCATGTCTTTCAAGTGAAAATCCCTTGCACAGAACATGGTCATTCCAAATGACTTACAGTGACATTACTGTCACAATGAACACTTGACACCAGAGTTCGTGACTGAAACTTAATTTCATGATCACTTGTTCAGTGAGTATTTGTTGACAACTTGTCTTGACAGTGTTCTAATTGTGCATTGTGCCAATTTTCCAAACTTTGCCAAATTAAACTGATATTACAACAATTTTGACTTTGTCCTCAGCTTTGGTGAATCGAATCGAAATTAGTCGAATCGAACGAATTGAATCGATAATCGTATCTAATCGATGTGACAGTGAATCATGACACCCCTATGCCATACAACCCTGAACACATCACCTGTAGTGATTGGCCGCACTCAGCATTATTCCAGCTATATGGCGGAGGTCTGTAAATAATCGAGTCTGGACCAGACAATCCAGTGATCAACAGCATGAGTATCGATCTACGCAATTAGGATGCGATAACATGTGTCAACCAAGTCAGCGAGCCTGACCACACGATCCCATTAGTCGCCTCTTACGACAAGCATGGGTTGCTGAAGGCCAGTTCTAACACGGATCTTCACGGGTCTCATCTTATTATGAGAAGTGTCTTGAATAGAAGGCACTATTCAATTTGATTCAGTTTGACAACTGTTTAATTACATCACTTTTACACAAAGTATGTCGAACAAGGTTCAGCGGATCAGAGCACATGGTTCAGAGGAATGACACGGGTCACAACAATAATAAGTAGGATTAGGAATGGACATTAAACGGAAAAGGAACATATAAACGAAATGGGATTTAAAATTATCCCCGAAACTCTGGAACACTTCCTGACACTTTAGGACAAGAAGGGTAAAGTAAAAAAACACTCAAAGGCATCATTAAAGTTTAGGACAAACATATTTCATTATAAGCAATTTCGACTACAATTTACAGCAAGGGGTCATGAATTCATCAATTCATTATAAGTGTATTATGAACCTCGTTTACTGTATTTCCCAGACTGGAAACAGAATTCAGACTCCTCTTCACAACAAAACTTGGAATGAGTTTAAAATGAGAAATGGACTGAGATTTGAAATCAGTGTCAGATAAGAGTACTCTGGTATAACTCCACTGTGGACAACTGAAGACAGCTGTGCCATGACCGATATAGCTTTGTATCTTATCTTATCAAGCTGTTACAGATGCACGCACACCCTCTTATAGTTTCCTTTTTGCACTGTCATCAGCTATCGATTTTGTCTCTGTAAGGAAATTTAATGGAAGTATAAAAATGCCTTTCAAACACTTCAATGGAAATATTCTTTGACATATCGATACACAGTGATTAAAACATAAACTAGCTTGGAGAATCTGTCGGGAAATATCATGGATGATTGGTTTAGATTATATATGGATACCTCTTGAAAAAAATGGATATTACCGTCAGTTTGGATTGGTTTCATATTTTTTGTATTTTCTTTATTTTGTGTATGTGTTTGTGAGATTTTGTTTAACTGGTGGGCGTGGAAGCCTATTGTTCACTTTTAGGTCTGTATTCAAGGGAGCGATTCCCTACGTGTCTAACCCTGCAGTGATATTGATTGAGGATGGCTAAAATGCACTGAAGCCAAACTCACTCACTCACTCACTCTCTGTGTTGTAGCAGAGTGTCACCCCAACCCAAATGTGTTTTAGCAATGATAATGGTGAATAAGGTTATGAAGCCAGTTAATCCCACCTGTCAAAGTGACACATTTACTCGCTCATAAACTAACAGAATTCTAGTAAATGAGAATTATATAATGACGGTTAGAATATGACAAGATCACGAGAATGAGAAATCGGATCTCACACCTCGTCAACATTGTTGAGTGCTGCTGTACCTAAAGCAGTAAATGTCATGTCACATATGGTTCCAACATTTTCTTATTTTTGTTCTTACATATTACTTTGTCATACAGTTCCTATGTAACATTGCCAAGCATGGCCAGGACACGGGGTTGCCAAGGTTGTGAGCAGGATCTGCTGATGGTGGGTTCGAAACCATGAACCCCATGATGACCCTTTCAGTACTTATCGCAGTTGTAAATGTCTCGATGTTCTTCACGGTTAGCTTTCCCCATGTAAGATCTAACATTGTGATATTACTGTGATACTTGTAGGAATGGTCGTTATAGGCGACTAACAGGATTGGGTAGTCAGACTCGCTGACTTGCGTAGATTGATGCTCATGCTGTTGATCACTGGATTGTCTGGTCCGGACTTGTTTATTTACAGACTGCCGCCATATGGCTGAAATATTGCTGAGTGAAACATTAAGCAACAAGCAAACCAAATCAAACCAAACCTAACTTGTAGAAATGCTAGAACCTCACTCACTCACTCACTCCATTGCTGCAACCAAAGAAACTCTGCTAGTATATTTGAATTTACTCCCATTCATAAATCATCACCAAAAGATAACAGTCAGTTGTTGAACGAATTTCAACTACCATCTGAATATTTTGTACATAGGTCACGTATATTTTGACATTCGTGTTGTTTTCTCACATTTCTCACTGATAGCCTCATTTTGAGCCAACGTTAGGTCATTCAAGGTTGACTGTTATTAATGACATTCTTATCGTGAGCTTCTGTCTCGTGTAACTGACAGCTGGAGGTTGTCAACATGGCCAAGGCTTGGAGATGTATTCATTGTCCCGAGATGGACAAAACCTTGCATCACTGGTTCGGGAGGATAGTTCTCGTTTGTCTGCCAGGTCTCTCAGTTTATAATGTGATCTTGCTAACATCTATGTCAGGGATTGGGTGATACACTCGGTAGTTACACAGTAATGTCATTGAAAAGATCACCTTTTGGTACTGGTGTTGGTCTCCATTGTCTCCACAAGTATCCCCCAAATATGGTGTTTGTACAGTAATGAGGCCATACTTATTATAATTTTTTAAGATATTTAATTCCTTCAGAATAAAGCGACCTTTGTAAATTATTTTTCAAAACTTATTTTACCAAGGGTATATGAACAGAATGCTTATAATTTTATTATCCCCCGGCATGTAACTCAAAAACCGTTCAATACTTTTCAACAAAACTTGGTAGATATATCAAACAGATCCTTAAGTGGTGCCTTTTGCTATTTGCAGATTTTTGGCATTTTTATTTAGTCCCAAAAGGGAGGGTGGGGTTTCGAGCATAACTCAAGGCTCAATATTTTTCAACAAACTTGATAGATATATCAAACTGAACCTTAAGTTGTTGGCAGAATTTTGGCTTATTTATTTTTCCCGGTTTTCATGGAAACGATTAGGACTTAGTCCCAAAGGGAGGGTGTGCTTTAGCTTCCGAGCATAACTCAAGAACTGTTCAATATTTTTCAACAAACTTGATAGATATATCAAACTGATCCTTAAGTTGTTCCTTTTGCTATTTGCAGATTTTGGGCATTTTATTTTTCCGGTATCCATGGAAACGGTTAGGACTTAGTCCCAAAAGGGAGGGGTGGGCTTCGTTTCTGAAAACTTCTTGATATCTTTCATCAAAACTTTGCAGATATGTGAGGTAGATCCCAAAGAGGTGCCTTTTGCTATTTGCAGATTTTTGTGATTTATTATTTTCTCTGTTTCCATGGAAATGATTCGGACTTATTCTCAAAAGGGAGGGGTGGGCTTCGTTTCTGGAGCACAACTGGAAAACTTCTTGATATCTTTCAGCAAAACTTGGCAGATATGTGAGGCAGATTCCAAAGTGGTGCCCTTTGCTATTTGCAGATTTTTGTGATTTATTATTTTCTCAGTTTCCATGGAAACGATTAGGACATAGTTTTAAAAAGTCAAGCTGGACTTTAAGTAACTGTCAGATGATTTATTTTTTTCAAATATGTGGGGGCCGGGGGGATATGTCATCTTCTGATGAGTCTTGTTTTATTTTTTATTTTTTTGTTGACAGTCAAACATATATGTTCTTTTGGTTTGTTTATATCACTGACCAAGAAGAAAAAAATGAAAATAGAAAATCATTTATATATGCATTTTGGTTGGCTGAGCGACTCAATCTTACAGTTTGGCGAAATGCAACAACTACAAGGTTCTATCATCCTAAGACACCCAAAAGGTCTAGGTTAGAATATTGATCTTCAGTAACCCATGCTTGTCGTAAGAGGCGACTAACGGGATCGGGTGGTCAGACTCGCTGACTTCGTTTACACATGTCATCAGTTCCCAATTGCGCAGATCGATGCTCATGCTGTTGATCACTGGATTGTCTGGTCCAGACTCGTTTATTTACAGACCGCTGCCATATGGCTGGAATATTGCTGAGTGAGGCGTAAAACTAAACTAACTCACTCACTCACTCACTCACTCACTCACTCACTCACTCACTCACTCACTCACTCACTCACTCACTCACTCACTCACTCACTCACTCTATCATCCTAAGAAAAAGTAAATATAATACTCATAGAAATCTTGATTCTAACCAAAACCAATAAATTACTGTTGAGATATTTTGCCATGTCAGAACTTGTTGGGTTTTTTTTTTTATAATAATCAGTCTAAATCTTAAAGCTGCAATTCAAAAAGCAAAAGCTTTTGATCAGCTACATTGAATTTTAGTGATTTTAAGCGAAACCAAAATTGAAGGCCAACAGTATAAACAGTTGATATTTTACTTTGTGTCTGGTATTTATTTGATGAAGTTATTTCTTGCGCAAACACATTATTAGCACGGATAACCCAAGTTGCCTCTTAGGTGCTAGAAGGTTATAGTCACATGACTTATCCCACTGGGTACCCATTTTCTGCTGGGTGAACAGAGGCAATTTTGAACAAACTGAATTGCCTAAGGTGAGACCACATGGAGACAATTCTAATATTAAGTCTGGTTAAATGATGAAAGTAATGGAGTGTTGGATAATGCTATCTAGACTCAAGGCTATCTAGACTCAAGGCTATCTAGACTCAAGGCTATCTAGACTCAAGGCTATCTAGACTCAAGGCTATCTAGACTCAAGGCTATCTAGACTCAAGGCTATCTAGACTCAAGGCTATCTAGACTCAAGGCTATCTAGACTCAAGGCTATCTAGACTCAAGGCTATCTAGACTCAAGGGCTATCTAGACTCTCAAGGGCTATCTAGACTCAAGGCTATCTAGACTCAGGGCTATCTAGACTCAAGGCTATCTAGACTCAAGGCTATCTAGACTCAAGGCTATCTAGACTCAAGGCTATCTAGACTCAAGGCTATCTAGACTCAAGGCTATCTAGACTCAAGGTATCTAGGGGCTATCTAGGATCTAGACTCAGGGCTATCTAGACTCAAGGCTATCTAGACTCAAGGGCTATCTCTAGACTATCTAGAAGGGCTATCTAGACTCAAGGCTATCTAGACTCAAGGCTATCTAGACTCAGGGCTATCTAGACTCAAGGCTATCTAGACTCAAGGCTATCTAGACTCAAGGCTATCTAGACTCAAGGCTATCTAGACTCAGGGCTACATTACCTGGAAACTGTCATCACTTCCTGTCTCCCCCTCACATTAATCATACATGCTGTGACAATGTATTGTTGTGTTCAGGGCATAAAACACGTCTCACTCAGTCAATAATTCAACCAACAAACCTGCTTCACATTTTGCCTTCCACCCACATGAAACTGACTTAGGGACCGTTCATAATTTTTGGCTAGAGGGGTGATGATGATTTTAAGGGGTGTCACCCATTTTGTTCTGGCAAGCTGGGAGGGTGGGGGGTTTTGTCAACAATTTTGTACATAAAAATATGATTAAATTTATCCTTAGAAATTATGGGGAGGGAGGGGGTCATTGATTTTGTACATTGGGGGGGCACTTATTTTGTACATAAATTTTTGGGGGGTGTCATTCACATTGTACATGCTTCTCCATAAAAATCATCATCACCTCCCCTAGCCATAAATTATGAACGGTCCCTTACTATGTCAAAACTGAAGTTGTGTTCAAAAGCTAATAAATCTTCTCAATGAATCTTTCCACAAATTATTTATTACATTTTTACAGTTCTTTATTATATATTTTTTCAGAAAAAATAACACAACTGGCGCAGAAGCTGTTCCTTGTGGTATCCGAAGAGAGGGAGAGTGACGATACAGACACGGATAAAATCGACCATGTAGAGTGACCACTCTGGTGTCATCACTACGCTTATAGAACTTTCTATGTCTATGCTCAATGGTAATGGACAGTCTAGTTCTAGGGACCGGTCGTTTATAATTGGGTGTGTTCGGTCTGAATGAATCAGGAGAGTGGCATCAAAAGCTCTAAAGATAAGGTCATTAAAAATAACTTATGTTTTGGGAGGGTGATAAAAAATGGACATTTTATAATAATGCATGTCTTGAAGGGAAGGTTATTAGAAGTACCATCTATTTCTGGAGGGTCTTGAAAAAATGGGCATTATGTAATAAAATACACAGTGCATTTGCATATTGTTTCTTCAGGGAGGGTCTTGTAAAATTGACATTATGTAATAAAATATACAGTGCTTTTGCATATTGTTTCTTCAGGTAGGTTCTGGAAAAAATGTCCAAAGACGTGAGGATCATTCTAAATATGGTCAGCTTGAGGGGAGGGGCATTATTTTCAGTTTTTTACTGATCAAAAAAAAAAAAAATACCCAGCCCACCTGAAATAAATGACTGGTCCCCTAAGCAGCTTAAATGTCATATTCAGTATTTCTAATTGAAATACATGTTGATGCATATCTGTGACCACAAGTCACCTCAATTATTGTTTTGACGATAAAGTTCGGAAAGAACATGCTTCAGTACTCCCAGGTGTTATGTCATCTCTTGGATGCAAAATATGAACATTTAGAAAGTCAACAGTTCAAACAATCAATAATGCCCTCAACATTTTTTCATTTAAGTATTCCAGGAATTGGTGTTCCTGGGTTCAATTTGATTGGAGACAGTTTGAGATGGTATACAGCTATATATACACTAGGTGTACACAGAGATGATTTTATCGTATTTGTTACTGAAAAAGCAACACAAAATATGTGACTACGATAGCAGTAAAAAAATATGATTTAAAAAAATATATATATTAAATTATCAAATAGCATCCATACCATCCACAATAATTTCAACCACATTTTATTCAGTATCAAGCTATATGTGGATACTCACTACTGATTTAGGTGAGTACAATGTTAATAACAAGTTCTTAGACTATCTCTCTATATTTTTTTAATAGGAAAATTCTTTTGAAAAGTTAATGCTAATTTTGGCCCCAAAATACTAATTTTTGCATCAGTTTTAGCCAAATATACTAATTGGCATAGCTGGAAGCCCTGTGTACAGTACTCGTGTGTGTACAGTACTCGTGTGTGTACATGTCCTATATCGTACAGATGCACTGCCAACAGATCAACATTGCAGACACAGACGAGTATTCGTGACTAATGCACAAATATTGTTTGTTTTATGTTGGCTTGTGTAAACTATTGTTGTGATAAAACTTGAAGTTGTATAATTTGGATATTTTATTGCTTTTCTCAGGAAATGTTGTGTTAGGGATTTGGTACATAATTCAAACATATTCTAAACTCTTTATCACTAAAATATAGTAGAAAAACATTTTCTCGATAGTTTTCACAAAGCTGATGTTTTAGCGACATAAAATAGGTTTCTGAAGAATGTTGAGTCAAACACGGTTATGTCTAATGGATGTGTCAAGCTTACCCTTGTTTAGTAAAGCTAGGACCCTGCCTACTCATTCTTTAGTCTTCTTTCTGTGTTCATCTCGAGCCTCAGATAACTTGAAGTATTTAGGAAGGTAAATTTCAACTATGTTTGGAATAATTACAAAATGACATACAGAACCAGACCCCACTGCAGCACGCAGTTTACTGTTACAAGATCTAAATATTGCCAATGCAAGTCAACGAAAACCTGTATTTCCTCTGCCGACCTTGTTTTGTTGTTTGCTAAGGCCACATGTGGGACAATGTCTCCTGTCTCAAACACGTAATGACTGTTGTAACTATGGTGTTTTTACTGAATTACCAATTTTTAAAATATGTCTTAAGCAGGCATGCAAACAGTGCAGGGTAAATTGATTGGATGTATTTTATCTCCACTGGATTCTAATCTCCATTAAACCATGACTAGGGCTGAGATTTTGTTTTGTTACTTCTTTTCTGTGAATAAATATTTAACTTGTTTTTGACTACTGAATGTCAGGCATGGATAACTAAGTCGTCTAAGGTGCTGCAATTTGCTGTGCAGAGTTGTGGCCCTTGGGAGTGCCAATACAGAGATGCCAACCTCTACGATTTTATCGTAGTCGCTACGAATTTTAGCCTCATACTACGCCAATACGATTGCACTAGAAATTCTACGAAATGTGAAGAAAATTCATTATAATTCGGATATATAGAAAAAAAAACAGAAATGGGCTTCACACAATTATGCCCATGTGGGGAATCGAACCCGGGTTTTTGGCGTGATCAGCCAACGCTTTGTCCATTAGGCTACCCTACGGCCCCTTCACCAAAAAAGAGACGACAAGAAGAAATGTAATGCTGATAATTTGGAAATCTGCTGTTGGAGGTACATAAATTAAAGCTTCACCCGTGATTAGTGTCATATTATCTTTCTCAGAATCCATTATGATTTTAGGTATTTAGTTGACAACTAATTTTATGGTCAAAGTACTAATATTGATCCTTGAAACTACTATTTGCAACACTTTGGGGTTGGCATCTCTGCTTGTAACTGTGGTTTGAATCTGATTTCACCCTAGTTTTGTTTCTTGTTTGCACTGCCAGTACTTATGGGATTGTTATACTGTAATTGTAAATGTCTCACTATATAGTCAATATACACCACTGTTACACCACTAGCACTTCAGAGCCTGTATGTTACAAAACCAACACTCATGACAGATGACCGGTGAAGTATTATCTGGCTCTTTTTAGCTAAAATGTTTCTTGTAAGTTTTTGTCATTTATTGAAAAATATTAAAATCACGATATTAAAATATAAACTTTATGTATGTGTAACGTATATCCTGTGTATGTGCATTGTAACTCTTTTAATGTTTTGAGGAAACCCTTATATGACATTTATATTATGTGAGAGAAATTAATTCTAACTTTAAATTATTGGAATGTTTAAGTGAGCTACAGAACCTGACTATTGAGTTTTATTATTTAAGACATAATTGCTTCATTTTGGATATGTGCCAAGCAAAATGAGAAAATTCTACAATTAATTGAAATATGTTTATTTCAAACTAATATGTATTGGTTTAGTTCGTTCCTTTACCAAGCATGACAGGCCCTTAATTAGTCTTATAATGAACAAGAAATGTTTTAAGATTAACAGTGCCATTAATACTAATTTAAATTGTTTTTTCCGTATGACCGATTTGCAGTGGTACCCTCATTTTACCAGCTTTGTAAACCTGGATGAAAGGGTTTCAGGTTGGATGTTGGAGTTAACCAGAGAGGTTCCTTAACAAGATTATTGATGTGTAATATAAATATTTATTGGACTGTTCAACATAAAGTTTATTGTTATTCAAACATCAGTCTTGAATATTAGGAACAAATAAATCGATCTGTGGCCCCTAGTATTGCATGTCTTTCACGTGATAAAAGGGTTCATCGCGGAAGACTTGGAATATTTGATACTGATACCCCGTTCATTATCATGTTGTGTTATGTTGCATACATATGTATGAAATATTGGGTGTGTTATGAGTTTTGTGATGAAACATGGGCATTGACAGGTGATGATATACACGTAATTATTATGTTATACTTTTCTTGTATGTCTGTATGCAAAAGATATTTTTCTTAAAGTGTACATAATTTTTTTATTATTAATGCAAAAAAGAAAGTAAATATGGTTACGCCATTTTTTTTAATGATCTGATCTGGTGTTGACATTAATAATGAGATCCATGTCATAATCATGGAAGAATATTTGAATTGGTATTGAATATTTTTCTAGAAATGAATTATCAATGTCATTATAAACAGGGTTCATAAATAATATAAGATTAATGCAGTCATGTGATACTCACATGCACCTGGCAGGCCTGTTTAGTGTGCAAAACATGAAGTCGCGTATCCAATTGTGTTGTTAATATCGTAGGGTTTGCTTTTCTCCAAAGAATGGTAGTGATTTAATTGGTCCAGCTGTTCACAGCAGCCAATATGGGGTAATACACAGTGCATGTGTAATGTATAGTCAATTTTTGGTTCTCCATTTGAATTTCTAACCGGGGAGATTCCAGACCAACACTACTGAGTGAATACAGTTCATCCTTGTGTCTGTACATTCACCTTGTGTCTATGTATGTGCTTTGTGTCGGTACTTTTGCTTTGTATCGGTACATAGTCATTCATACCTTGTATCACGTTATATCTGTACATTCATGTTCAGGGACGGATACAGGTTTTGGAGAAAGGGGGTGCACAATTCATTTTCACCTGTTTACACGAGAGTTTCAATCCGCCTACGATGTTGTATCAGTACATATGCCTTGTATCGGTACATACACCTTTTATCAAAGCAGATGACGTGTAAAGGTCAGTATGCTTGTGTCGGTACCTATGTTTCGTATCGGTACGTACAAATTGCGTCAGTATATGAGCATGTGTACATTGTTTTGGTACATATGCCATGTATCTGTACAGATGACGCGTAAATCTCCATATGCTTGTGTCGGTACCTACACGCTTCGTATCGGTACATACAAATTGTGTCAGTATATGAACATGTGTATATGAGTACATATGCCATGTATCTGTACAGATGTGTAAAGGTCCATGTGCTTGTGTCGGTACATACGTTTCGTATCGGTACATACAAATTGTGTCAGTATATGAGCATGTGTATATGAGTACATATGCCATGTATCTGTACAGATGACATGTAAATCTCCATATGCTTGTGTCGGTACATAAGTTTCGTATCGGTACATACAGATTGTGTCAGTATATGAGGATATCAGTACAAATGATGTGTAAAGGTACATATACCTTGTGTTAGCCTTGTATTGATACATTTTCCTTGCATTATTTTTATCAGTACACTCAGTTTCGTTACCAGTATTGGATCATAAAGCCATGGAAGGGTAACCTGTGGAAAAAGTTTATAACCATATTTACTGACTTCCACGTAAATTTAGAAGGCAAAGTTTACTACGGTTGAATTTCTCAACATATCTGACTATTGTCACAATACCATGAGAACATGAACCCATTGAACCTTCACAGGGCATTAATGAAGTTAAATAGCTAGTCGGGGCATAGGTGACCAAGTAGTCACAGAGTTGCATTCCTTGGCATGCCAAGATCCTGTTATTATGAAGTCAAACTCAGTGACCTTAAATACTGTGTATGATCCTTGCTAGGGTTGTGGTTTCACCAGTACGGGGCGGTGGGGTAGTCTAGTGGTTATAGCGTTGGCTCGTCACGCCGAAGAACCGGGTTCGAATCCCCACATGGGTACAATGAGTGAAGCCCATTTCTGGTGTCCCCTGCCGTGATACTGCTGGAATATTGCTAAAAGCGGCGTAAAACCAAACTCAGTCAGTCAGTCAGTTTCATCAGTACAGTCTTCACTGTAGACCAGCATCACTTCATTGACCCACAGAACTGAATTTTGTGTGAAAGCAGCATTAAACCAAACTCACTCACTCACTGTACAACCCTGATGCTATATGACTGTGTGTGTCACTGCAGTTTTAGATATAGGCGGTGTTCTGAGATTGACGTGTCAGCTTATGTTCAGGTGGCTGCAGAGAAGGCAAGATTAATTTCTTACGCTTAGCGTATATGTGTCACTTAAATACTTACCTCCTATTTATTTTACGCTGAAGTAAGGGGCTGGTCATTTATTGTAAAGAGGCCTCGTGTAAATAATGTCTCAGAGAAAGGGGGTGTCACCAAGATTTATCAAAACTTGGAAAAAAATTAAGTGGGTGTTTTTTTTATCATAATGGACAGCGAAATATATGATATGATGTAAAACAAATCCAGAGTGTGTGTTATTTGAATGCAAATATTGCTCCATAGCTCTCAAAACAAGTTTGATCAAATGAAAGCAACTTCATTTTTTATTCAATGGCGATATGCAAAGTTTTTTTAAATAGACAAAGAATGAGTGTTTTTTAGAGTTCCAAAGAACATTATCACCAAGCATTATCATGTTTTCAGAAACAGTAAAATCAACAGCATCGCCTCAATTCACAACAATCAAACAATGATTGCTCAATCTGCACAAATCAAATTGTATAATATATTTGTAACTTTTCAAATTTAGGTAATTTTGCTCAGAATATATTTTTTTATGATTCATAAGTGTTTAGATAGTGGGAAGGGAATGCATCCAATTTTCATTTACTTTTTAAGGGCTGGTAGCATGGAGTCAAGGCTGTAGTGATATACTGCTCAAAAAAAGTTAAGGGTCAAAGGTAGATTTCAGCATGACATTTAGTTATGCATAGCATACATATATCCTGTCTGATTCACAGTATGCCCTAACGATATGCTCTATGCTTAGGAGCACGTGGTGGTTTCGCCCTTTATTGACATACCCATTATTTCCAGAATTGATGAATTTTCAATTTTGCTTGCAATCGTTGAGCTTGCATAGAGCATATGATTTGCACACAGTGCTCAGCTTTAGGACAGCATAAACCAATTCTAACCATATTCAGACTTGGAAATTCTGTTTTGTATGTTTCTTATTCATAATTAAATGTCATGCTGAAATCTACCTTCTTTGACCCTTAACTTCTTTTGGGTACCCGGTAGTATATTTCTTCCATGTGTCGACTCATAAACTATGACACAAAAGTAGAGGTCATGTAATAATCAATATTTGTTTGTTTATAAAGAATAGGATAAAATTAGTCTTGAATACCACTTCTAACATTGTGATATTCTATATAGGTGTCACCTGCCACCTGTGTATCACTGTAACTATCTCTTATTATTCGTTTCCATGATGATACTTTGTAGTTACATATTTTGTCCTTGTGGTAAATTAAACGCTGTATATTAGTGACAGATAAGCCCTAAATCATTTTCTGTTGTGCTTTTGGGTATGCAAGTGTCATGTTTAGTGTTATTTATTATTCTGAAGGACAGGATTAGGTGTGAAATTGTCTTGTCCATGTCACAAGTCCTGTCTGTTTATTGAGGCAAATGAAATATTTTCCATGTCTTAGTG